GAAGACATGTAATGTGTGTTTCGTTGGGGAAAATCAACGCTTCATAAATTACGATTTAGTAAATAGACAAATTTAAGAACCAACAACAACAACAACGAGCATCTCGGGTGTTTTATAACCCGCTACACAGCCACAAGGATACAGGAATACAAGGATACACGGGTAGGAGAAGACTCCAAGACCCACCAAACAACACGGCAAAGTGCGGCCGTAATGGGTGGTGGCTTTGCTGGGCCACCAATTACATTAGCAACCAGCAACCAGAGCCCGGCCTTAGCCAGCGACAAAAACAACAAGGAGAAGGAGCAACATCAAACATATCCACGGACGCAGATAGAAGCGAAGGCAGGGAGAACGGCGAGCAGGTCCTCAACGGTCGCTCCAATGCACGAGAAACTCCTGGAGCAGGAGGAGACGCGCAAAGAAAAGACTGAACGGGCAACAAGTCTGCTGGGTGGCAAGGTCAAGGAGAAGCCGCCCAAGGACAAGCCACCAAAGCAATCGAAATTCGCGGAGCGCCTGCGACGCTCCTTCCGCCGTGGCGACCATCGCTCGCTGGAAATCAAGCGACAGGAGCCCACGCCGGACGAGCTACGGGCCAAGAGCCGTGCCACACCACCGCTGCCGCTGCCGCTGCCGCTAGCGTCGGAGAACAACAATCTGATTGCTGGCAGATCCCCCTCAGCCTTTGCCCTCAGTCAGCTGCATCTGCCCGGTGTGGGCTTGGGCGGACACATCAATCCCGCTCTGCTGCTGGACAGCCCCGACGAGTGCACGCCCCCCGAGTACGCGTATCGGCATCTGAGCAGCGTCGCCACCACCAACTCGAGCACCTCCCTGGAGAGCAACTGCGAGCTGGGAGAGCTTAGCGGCTCCCAGACGAGCGTCTTCTACTGGGCCTGTGGCCAGCAGGCGACCAACGCATCCATGGGCGGAGAGGTGAGCACGGCCAACGGTGGTGCGGCAGCAGGATCGCAGCAGGAAGCACAGGAGCGTGCCAAGCGGCGCCTGGAGACACAGAGCAGCAATCGTAGTGACCAGCAGCCGGTGTCCATTACGACGACCACATCATCGGCCCCAGCCAGCGGCAGTCGGAGCTGCAGCCTCACCAGCGAGAGCAGCTCCGTGCGGCTCACACGACTCCAGAATTTCCTCTTCAAGAGCAGCAACGAGAGCTCGAGGAGCTGTCAGGGGCACTCGAATGAGGGCTTCACGGCCTCCTCGCACAACTCCTCCTCGGGGGAGTGGGAGCAGCTGGGCGCCCACGGACCACTGTCCAGCAGCAGCGGCGTGGGCTTCCACGGTGGCTCCTTCCCGGAGGAGAGCACCCCCGATGAGACCGATGCCACGGACGCGGGCAGCACGCTGCCGGTGGAGAGCGGAGAGGCGGGTGGCGGCTACTACCAGTACACGTTGACCTCGCCGAACAATCCCTTCCTGCCGGAGATCACGGCCCGCACCTACCACAGCACCTACGAGGACGATGGCTTGGAGCAGATGGAGGAGCTGCAGCTGGATGGCAATGTGACGTCAGTGAAGTACAATGCCAGTGCCGCTGGCACGCGGTCTGCCCAGCTGCCGACGCCCGCCTACAGTCGCGCTGGATCCCAGGAGTCTACGCACAGCGAGAGCGGCGTCAGTTGCCCTCCGGGACCGAGTCCCAGCCCAGCCTCCAGCTCCTCCTCGACGCCCGGACGGCACAGGCGCAAACTCTTCAGCCTGAATTCGCCCACGCGGCTGCTGCACCATGCGCCCGCCGCCCAGCCCACGCCGACAGCCTCCCCGCCCTCCAGCGCCCAGCAGGAGAGCAGCGGCCGCTTCCATTCTGGCAGTCTGGTGCGGAGTCTGAATCCCTTCCTGCCCACCGCCTCCTCGCCCAAGCGTGGCTCGCCCCTCAAGCAATCTGCCGTCACCTCGCCGGGCGCCGTGACCCCGGACCTGGGCACCAAGCGGGAGGAGTTCCTGCGCGCCACCATGAAGATCTGCCTGGTGGTGTCGCCGCCCAGCAGCAAGCTGCAGGTGAGTGTAGGCGAAGGCCCTGCGCCAGCAAGGAGGCTCCCCAGAGCAAATGTTTACTCTAAGAAATGAGAATAAACAGATTTTATCCGGCGCACCCCCCGCCGATTGGTGTATTTTCGTTTTATTTTATTTCGTTTTTCCTCTGTTTTCTCGTGAGTTGTGCTTCGTTTTGGTTTTTATTTAATTTTACAATTTCCAAAGAACAGCCCAAATTTATTGCAAATTTAAAGCCCTACTTTTGGCATTTTCTGTCTCGAATAAGTTGAGATTTGTGATTGGTTGACTTCATAGTTTGTTTGCATTACAAATGAATCCATTAATAGATTGATAAGTGAATCCATTATTCACTGGAAATGAATCTACATGAATATCTACAGCAATCTGGGGGCTGAATGTACAACAAAAAGTAATATTAAATGGAATTCGTTTTGTCAACGGCTTTAATGCTCGAATGGAATTGCAATAAGCGACTGACTGCTCTGACGACCACGCATAACATACATATGATAATAAATGCGAGTTGTGAACTGCAGATGTACATATTTATTATGTATGTATTTATGTTACCCATACGCAGCGTGAACCTGAACGCGAACGCATGAAAGACCCCGCATGAATATCTGTATGTCTGTCTGTCTGTCTGTCTGTCTGTCTGTCTGGCGGCATTCAATTGTCGTCCGGAGGACATTTAGGGGCATTAGCGCAAATGCAGTCAAGCAGTAAATTGCATCAACGATTTGTCCACTTAGTTCCCCGCTGCCCCCAAGGACACCACCCACACACGACAAAGCAGCTAGTGAAAAGAAGACACAGATTCAGACTTACACCAAGGCTCGACTCGGCTTGCTTGTTCATTCAGATTTTCAATGGACGTGTCAACGTTCCATCACGGAATCTTGTAGCAGCAGCATCTCGTCGGTTTGTGGAATCATTTGTATCAAATCCTCGGCTCCGCCTTTGTACAAAGACTTTTTATTCAGCGATTTTCCTGCACGTTTATGGCAGAATTTAATCCTATTAGTACTTGTTTAAGTGAATAGCGGAGGTTCCTCCAAGCTATCGTTAGCTGTGGGTACCTATTTATGTGTGTCTTACTGCACTGCCAAGATTTAGTCTGTGTTTAAAATAAGCTTCTGCTTTTGATTACCATTTGCTGGTTGATTTAAGAGCGAATTCTCTACTCTGTATACTTGATTACTTCCTTTGCCAAAAGTTCGAGGCATAAGAATAACTATTTTTAAACACACTTTTCGTGAATTAAAATTACGAAAATTACCGGCATAGTTTAAACAAATCATTGATGCCATTGTGCTTAAAACTATTTTCCCATTGAAAAGCTTAAAAAAGAATAGTTCCAATTGCATTTAACGCTCCGTGAAGCACCTTTCTGCTGGCCCTGCGGTAGGCAAATCTTAAAACTGAACCCAGAGGTCCTTGCGGACCCATGCCTTGGGGTGTTTGCACTGGCAGCGAGTCGTGTTTGCCTGTAAGGCCCAAAGTGATTTTTGCTGTTGTGCGTGTCGTGGGCGACCCCCTGACCCCTTTGCGTTTCGTCGTGGACTTTACACGGAAATGCCGTGGTCAAGATGCTGCTGCTGCGGCGGCGGCGGTAAAAGCGGAGCTGGCGAATGGCTTGAAGGCTTTAAGGGTGTAAATTCTTGTCCTAATTTAGAGTAAATACATTCTTGGCCCACAAAGTGTCCTGCTTTCCGCACAGAAATTATGAAATTATGATTTGAGCAAACAATACTAAAACGAGAACAAAAGAGAGACCAAACCAGAATCCCCGCTTGACAAGGCCATAGGCGGGGACACCTCCTCTGTACCTCCTCCGAGAACAGTGGGGAAAAAGGGAGAAGACTCTCCCGTGCCTGCACAGATCCAAGATACCCCTCAGTGGGAGAGCGACAATTCACGATAAAACAGGAAAACAAAAACCATAAACCAGAGTAAAGGGCAAGAGGCGACGCTCGAAATGGCCAAAAGCAGAAAATGTGAATTATTGTCGTCAGACGAGAATGTATCGGAACGGCACGCGCATCCTTGAACATCCCTCTTGCTGGTTGGGTGGGTGTCCCTCGGCAGGGGCGAGTGTCCCTCCGCTTCAAGTGAAAACAGAGAGCTAGAAATTTGCGAGTGCTCTCCATTTCCATTGGGATCGGTGGGAACGTTATATTACTTGGCTGTTGCACAGCCAGTAATGATTTTATGTGCTGCTCTGCCCTGTCTGCCCCCTGTGGTCGATGCCATTCCATAGATGTACAAGGATTTTGCTCAAGAGTGGCACTGAAATGTGTAAATCACTGCCGAGTCCTTGACTACGGGACTCAGAGGCGGCATTGACTTTGCCACTGACACTGAAGGCGGAGGGGTGCGGTCTCTTGACTGATGTAATCTCAGTGCATTAGGCGAGGACAGGACACAGGACACAGGACAGGAAGTCTTCTAGGACACGTCTAGAGCCCTTGGCCCTGCTGGCACAATCTTTTTGTTCTCGATGCATCTCGCTCGTGCCCTTTTGGGGCACTGCCGACTGACGACTGCCGACTGCTGCCAGCAATTTATTTTTCCGGCAAGCAGCACCCCAGGGGCATTAGATGCTCGCTCGTATAATAAGCGCGAAATACTCTGTAAATCCAATAAGGGTTCACCGCCCTTTGAATGCACTTCTCCAGAGATTGCTCCACATATAATATCAACAGCAGGAATTCTGATATGTATAGCTGGGAATATTATTATTACTTCACAGGAATTTCATTTCATTTAATGCATCGGCATGCCGATTGTAGCATTTTATTTCCCGCTTTTATTTCCATTTTTATTTGAATTTATGATGTGAATAATTCCCATTGAAACACTCTCATGTACGAGTATGCATAATAAAAATCTCTCGACAATGCTCTCGCATCCCATATTCAATTATCAATAACTGAGTGTAACGCCTGATTGATTACACAACGCTTTTAATTTCCATTTTGCAGCTTAAATCGAAAAGCCTCACGCACTTGGATGGCCTCGATACGGTGGTGGCCTGCCAGCACGGGCCCGGAGGGACTGCAGCGACTACCTCGATTGTCCAAACGGCTGCCACACCTGGCGTGTCCTCTGGGCATCAGCACCAACAGGCGGCAGCAACGACACCAACGGCGCTTGGCCGGCAGCCTCATGCGGTAAGTGAGACTAGAAAGCGATGCCCCACCCATCCTTTGTAGTGTGTGTGTGTGTAGTCCTTTGGCTGCCGACGGGCTTTCCGCGAAGCATTATCCATAGTGATGCGCCTTTGATGCGTTTTTCATTTGTTAATGCATTTTGGTTTCAGTTTGAGTTTGACTGCCACTGCTTCCGCCATTATTGCTGTTACTCTAAATACTAGTTTTACCTCTTGACTATATTCTGTATCCCTTACTATCTTATCTGTCTGTCTGTTTCATCTACTCCAAATGGAGAGCTGCAAGGGTATTCCATGCTTCGTTCTTCCAACTTTTGTATTGGCTTTTGTATGCATTGAAAAAAGCCTTGTTCTTTTCGCTGTCAGGAAGTACGTGACTTGCCTATGATTTGCAGAAGAACTTCTTCCTTCTGGTATCATTTAAAACTTTTTTTTAGCTCGGCCAGCAGTTTAGTTCCCACTGACAGCAGCAGCACAGTTGCCATATTTGTCGAGATCCTCTTGGGCTCTTGCGCGGAATCGATGCAATTTTCGCCTGGCAAGTAAAGCCAATAAAACTTGTCGTGGATTAGGAAAGCCATTAAATTGGTAGTGGAAATTGCTAGCTGGTGTAGGGTTCGGGCAAGGGTATGCTGTCATGAAGATTAGGGCAACTAACTGGAGGATTTTTAACAAACAGAGCCATAAAATGTGATAGGAAAAAGTATTCCTCGTATTTTTTAGTCTTTCTTTTTTATTTTCTCAAAATGTAGCCATTTTTATTTTGATAATCTTCCGGTATCCAATGTAGAATCGATTGAAATCCTTTTAACGACTATTCTGTATTCTCTTCCTTTCTCTTTCTCTCTCTCTCTTTACCCCCTCTATGTCTGTGCCTTTCTCGCTCTCTGCTCTGTCTTTTTCTTCACTTTTTGTTTATTTGCCAACCGCTTGAACCCTTCCCGCCACACACCCATCCATAAAACAGACGGAAAAGAGCGATCCGTCCGTGTCCGTGTCCGCGTCCGTGTCCCATCCACCCACAATTTACACCCAAGCACCGCAGATCGTGCGTCGAGCGCCGTCGCTGATGCTCTCACTCTCGCCCACGCTCGACACAACGACCACGGCCGCGTCCGCCTGTTTTGCTGGCTCCGGTCGACCCACTGTGCACTCGAGTGCCAGCTCCTTGCACCAACATCAGCAGCAGCAACAGCAGCAAAAGCACCCACAAGAGCCGGCCATGGCTGCGGCGGTGACGAGTAGTGGTAGTGGCTCAACGACAACTCATTCGATACCCTCCTCCTCCTGCTCCTCCTCCTTCAAACACTTTCAGCATCCGGGCGGCGAGGCGCAGGTGGCAGCGGCAGCGACCTCGCTGAGCCCCTACAGCAGCACGCCTCCTGCGGGCCCACCGCTGAGCTCACCGTCAGGCCTGTCGGCGTCAACGCCGGCGACAGTCAAAAAGAAATCCTCATTTTTGCAGCGCAAGAAACCGCTATTGACACGCAGCGAGGTGAGTCCCGAACACCGACACTCGAGAGCGGCACCCAAAATAAGAGAACCGGTGACCGTAGGTCGAGAGTGCCTCAATATGGATTCATAATCAGACCTTGAGAGCCTCGAGAGCCTTGAGCGAACCCAGTGAATGTCCCCCAGTCTTGTGTGTGTGTGTGCGGGCACCCAAGAGAAACTCAAACAGAACTCAAACGCCATTCCCCCGCTAAGGAAGGGATTCTACCTCGCAGATTTTTAATTTCTCTCTCTCTCTCTATGTATTTGCTTTGTCGCCTTAATCAGCAAAGTTGTTGTACAACTCTCTCATCCTACTGCCTCCTTTCTTTGGTTTCCCTGCCGCCTGCCACACACAAACACTTGGGCAATATTCCGTAATGTTTGCCCATTCAGTAGTTTCTGTGGCAGCCACTTCGCGGCAGGGCAACCCTTTAAGTCCCTTAAGCAATCTCTTCTACAGTGGCCTCTGGATGGATACATCTCTAGCAATTTTAATGCAGGAATTCTTGTCACTAAAACGTTTCCCATTCTTCGCCTAGGTATCCAGTTCCGAGTTCTTTTCCGTGTCGTTTTGCATGGAATCGTCCCAGCATCCGGACGAGGAATTCATACCGGCCACAAAAGGAGTCACCCTACTGTAAGTTCCTCCAAGATTTGCTGTTAGTCTCCGACTTCTATTGGATCCATTTTCAGTAACGCCCTTAGCCATGCCCTGCGGCGGAGGAACCTCACGTTTTCACAGATCACGATAACGGACAATAATCCCACGCCCAGTTTTTTGGATGCAGGTCCTTCGCCCGCAACGAGTTCCGTGGATGAGCAAACCGATGTGGAGAACCTGGCTGGCCATCACTTATGCATCACGGAACGTGGCTCCAATCGCAAACCGTTGCAGAAGGCAGCCTCCTTTGTAAGTGAAGGGAGCAGGAGGGGAGACCGACTTAATACTCTTTTTCTGTTCCCCCAAATAGGGTTCCCGACAACCGCCGCCCCGCCTGCTGCCCTCCGCCTCGACGGAAGAGACCAGCGATGCGGCTGTGGCGGCTGGCAAACAAATCAAACAACGATGGTCCTCACTCTTCGGCATCAAGAACCCCCAGCAGAGCCAGCTGTGTGAGCTGCTGAACAGCTACTCGCGGAATGGTGTGCCCCAGCGGGCGGAAGGTCTCAGCTTTGAGCATCCGGACCTCGACAACTCGCTGGCGTACCTGCAGAACATGCACAAGTCCTGGCGGGACTTTGTCGAGAGCGACGGCATGGCCGAGAGCGAGGTCAAGATCCAGACGGCCATCTGGGAGCTGGTCACCACCGAAGTGTACTACATACACGCCCTGCAAACGGTGACAGAGGTGAGACCTCAAATCAAGAGGAGGCGGAATCCCCCAGTGAACTGTTTGTTGAATTTAATTGATTTCAGCTTTTCCTCGCTTGTCTGGAGGCTGTGCAGGAGGAGCGGCTGCTGATTGATGTCGACCAGGCGAGGCTGTTCTCCAATGTGCGAGCCGTTTGCGAGGCAAACATCAAGTTCTGGACAATGTGGCTCTATCCGATGGTGGCCCACAGTGTGGTGACACACGAGCCACTGCGCTGTGCCTTCTTCCAGGAAGGATTCATTGCATTCGCCTCAATATTTGCGCCATACAAAGTGAGTCTCTCTCTCGCTCTGCCTCGAGCTACAATTCCCCAACATTATGTATCCCCTCTTCCCGTAGATCTACTGTGCCGAGCAGAGCACCTGCCAGTTCTACTGCAAGGAGCTCAATCAGAACAATCCGCTGTTCACCTCGTACCTGGCGTGGTGCGAGTCGCAGAAGATGTGCAACCGCCTGCGGCTGGCCGACATTGTGGTGCGACCGATGCAGCGCCTGACAAAGTACAGCCTCCTGCTGGCCGCCATCAAGAAGCACATGAGCGACGTGGAGGAGATCGAGGCCATTGATGTGATGATGCACAGCGTCGAGAACTTTGTGGGCAGCGTCAACAATCATCTGACAATGCGGCAGGAGAACGAGCGGCTCAAGGGCGTGATGGTGCGGATTGAGTCCTACGACGTGGTGGTGAGTAGAGTGGCTGATCCCTGTGTAGCTCCATGATGCAACGATGTTTCGCAGGACACCAACAACGAGGGGCTGGACAAGCTGATCAAGCAGCACAGCCAGATGTTCGATCTGTGTGCCCCGATGCGCGGCTGTCCGTCATATCATGTGCGGCACCTGTTCATGGAGGGCGACCACAAGTTCAAGGACAACCTGGGCAAGTCCGATGTGCACTGCTTCCTGCTGACGGACCTCCTGCTCGTCTGCAAGACCATGGCCAAGCGGGGACTGGGCGCACTGAAGGTCATCCGGCAGCCGTACCTGACCGACCAGCTAATCGTCCACATGGCCCCGAACAACACCCTCAACTGTGTCTACCTCAACGAGTTCCAGGTGGCCAGCACGGCGTTCACGCTGCAGTGCACCGAGGCCAAGAACTGGTACGACGCGATGTGGCGGGCCAAGACCATCTACCAAAGACTGAAGCGCGGAGCAGGAGGCGGCGGCGGCGGCGGGGGCACTGTGGGTGACAGCTTCCGCTTTGGAGGCAGCGGCACTAGCGGCGGCACGGCCGACTCCCTGGGGGTGCGCAAGTCACCGATGAACTCCTCCATCTGCAGCCATGTGTCGAGTGCGAACAACAGCCACAGCGGCAGTGTCGAGTGGAACGATTCGCGCAACATATCCGTGGACTTTGAGAAGACAAACTCCGTGTCGAGCGACGAGGGATCCGGCCTGACGACAGGTGAGTCCAGCCAGCGACTCCCACAGCTCCCAATCTCAGCTGAATGCTTGGTCTCTTGGGGACAGGTAACCATGGAATAGCCACGAAGGGAAAGCAGCAACTGATTAGCGGTCTGCACAAGGCAAAGATTGGGATGATTGGCGCGATTGGGTCCAAGTCGGCGAATACACTGACTGTGCAGCCATTGAACCACCTGGGGCAGAGTCTGCCCAACCTGAACATGCACCACAGTCACACGTAAGTTGTTCCGTAGAGAGTGCACCAACCACCAACCACCAACCACCCGCCCACCACCATGACCATCATGACCAGCTTCTTACTAAAACAAAAGCAAGCACATCCAACATCCAACAAAATACTCTCTCACCACATTCGTCCAGTCATGTGTCCGAGGGTTCCACTCCCTCCTCTCACAGGAACTATCGGGCACACAGCGTTTATCGTTTATGTTGTATCATATTGTATCATTAAGCCATATCATATATATATTTGTATTTAAACACAACAATCCTAGGTACATAGTTTGTATTGTAATTTAGTCATCTCTTTTATACAAAAACTATCGAATAAATCGTTTTTATTGTGTACGATAAGCATCGATGGACTCGATTACTCCACACCACACGCAACGCGGCCCATCCATCGCCATTTCAACCACCAAAACGACCAAGCATCAGTGCTCATTCGTGATCATTCGTGTCCGTTCGTGTTCATTCGTGCTAATCCACACACATATACTGCCATGCATTTGTCATTTAACTTTTGTTTTCTCATCCAATTTCAATCGTTGAAGATCGATTACTTTTCGTTTCGTGCCTATCGCTTGCTCTCGCTTGCGCCTCCGCATCCACCTTCTGCTCTTTACAGACCTTAACCTTTTGCCATACTTTTGTAGTAACAATACCCTGCTCGTGCCGGGCACGACCACTAGCCACTCGGGCAACATGTTGTTGTCGCCCAGCCATCGTGGCATTTCCTATCCGCCGCCGAGCCCAACGAGGTGAGTTGTGAAGGGCAGGGAAGCCGCCGCCTGGTTATGGTCTCACCTGCTCATACAATCCCCATCCAATCTGTCGTCTTTCCACATGTGTATCGTTGATCGAACCGCCACCGTCTCACGACCCAACATTTTGCCATCATCGACCGCCCTGTGACTACCAAAAATCCCGAAATGAAAACTTAAACCCACCGTCCGTCCCCAATGCCTAATGCCTGTACTGTGTCCGGTTCCCAGAGTGCCGCTGCGACGTGGCATGGCCTTCTCGACCTCCACCAAGAATCCGCCACTGCGGAAGACGCGCAACGTGACCTCCCAGAACAGTATTAACTGGCACCAGATACCGGCCACCCCGACGCCCACGCCGCCCAGTCCCCGGTCGCAGCACAGCTCCACACCCGCCGCCAGCATTGCCCTGCAAAAGTCGCTGCCAGTGCTGGACCCATCGCCACCGTTGCTCCACAAGCAGCTCTCCCACCAGGCACCCCTGACGACATCCAGCACCGAGACGGACGTATGATGTGGAGCCAAACTCCGGCGACCAGCGACCGGTGCCCGCAAGCTGTAGCACTTGGAGTTGTCCTGGAAAGTAAAGAGCGTGTACTTAACTTAACCTGTCACAAATTAGCAATAGCACACACACACACACACACACACACACACACACACACACACACACACACAGAGAGCACTTTTCTATTAGGAGGAACTTAAACTTGAACTTGTGAGAAACGGCACTTTTGGGTCCAAATAATGTACATTCCAAAACCATCTACTAAAACCTAACTATCAACCCCGCGTCAGACCACCTAGCCTCTCAAGCTTCGACCTTTACTGAACACTGGAAACACTCAGCCATATTACGAGTATTCTTCCCCTAAAGATATAAAGACAATTAAAGTTTAACCAATGGAAGAAGTTAATTCTAGAACTAAAACATACAAGCATAGTGCAATGCCATATATACGAAAACTATTTAGAACGAGATTCGCAAGCTTTATAAAAGTGTCTCCAAGTAAGTCGGTTGATGTAAGTCGTTACTTACCCACAAGTAGGACAAATTACAATGTTATGGTTACAAAATATCAAATAAAATACACATGATTAAAGTAAATATGTATCCTCAATATATATATATATATAAATTATACAAGGAGAACCTTAAACAGATCAAAACATATGCTTTTCCCCTCCCAATTCAGTTGAATGTTGTTTGTAGACACTACAATAATAGCTTAAACATTCCCAACAGCATAGAATCTAAAACATAAGAAGCTTCAACTCCCCTTTAACGTATGTATACCAACCTAGAGTATTAGCCGATCAACGGCCAAAAGTTGTGTAAGTACATTTTAAACTGTATGCCATAGAGTTATTCTTCAACGTTTGAGTTTGAGTTTGAGTTTGAGTTTGAGTTTCCCGTTTCAAGGCAATGAATGTGGACCCCAGTGGTGATATGGGTGATATAATTTGTGATGTGATACAGACAGAAGTAAGTCCTCTCGATGGTGTTTTCTCTGTCTGTGCTGTAAGTAGCAGGTACATATGTGGGGAATCCCAAGCGGCCTTGCAATACTCTGTTCCATTCCATAATGTCTAACTATCCTTTGAAGCATTAGAGTCTATATATTTACTGTTTGTCTTAGATTTGAGGTGGGAACAGGAGTTTAGAGTCGTACCGTAGAACCTTATATCTTGAGGGGAATACATATTACTAGATCCCACTAGTAAAATAATTAAGTGTAAAGTAGTTCTGTTCTTCCTACATAAATGATGTTCTGGAACAGCAATCGCAGGTGTTTGCTCCAGAAATTTGTAAATATTACCTTCGGGAAAGCGTGACACAAGTTCTAAATTACATATAGAGAAAACAAACGAAGACACACACTTGATATATATAGAGAGATTATTTATATATATATATTTGTAAACGTGTACAAAAGAGAGGTGAGGGAACACATAAAGTATATATTACAATATCTACCCATATATAGAACCGCAATAAAAAACGTTAACTGTATTTGCATGTATTTATTGTGTATGCATAGAGTTCGTATCTTAGAGTTTAGTTGTAGCCCCTTCCGCCTTACAATATCTAATCTCTAGTGCAGAGTAAAGAGTGGATGGGATGATAGTTACCAACATATAAATACATGTAGAACACATACCCCCGCATATGGTAAATTGAAGTTGAACTTAAAATGTTATTGAAACCTACATATATCAAAATCGCAATTTATTTACAATGGAACACAAATAACAAACAAACAAACAAACAGACAGACAGACATATAATGCGTAAAGTGCAACAAAGCTTTATTTACACGCTTGAACAATAAACATTAAACGTATTTGTAAAGTAAATTCACAATTTAAATGTAGTTTGATTTGACATTTCCAAGTGATTAATGAATCCAAATAGAATTTGAAGCGGGCAGAAGTCTTCAACTTCTTTCCGACTTTCTTTGTGCAACTTTGTCTTGAATTTTGCCCTGCAACAGACATCGAAAATCTTACAAATTATGGAGCAGGCAATGCACTGAGTTGTCTTGGTTGCACAGACATCAATTGCACATTGTCAAGTTGAATGGTTGCAATTTAAAGGCAATTACTATGAAAAAGCTGCCACGTACGAATCAAATCTGAGCTCGAAGACATGTTGCAGCCAACTGGAGTGGTGTGGAGTGCAGTGCAGTGGACAACAGTGCTTATTTTTCCATTAAAAAGTTTGGCCGCAGCTGCAGCCAGACCATGTCAGTGTCCATGCCAAGGATGCAGTTTGATAAATGAAGGGTTCTCTGGCGGGGCCATCGTTGTCATTCAATGCGCGATTACTAATTGGCATCGCAGTTAGCCAACAGATTCGGAGAATTTAATATTATGTAAGTTGAAACTAAACGAGTGACGCACTCTGCGTCAGGCATCGTCTTGAGCAGGCGAAACTAATGCCCTCCTCATTGTACAAGCTGTGCAGATGCAAATTAAGTTTCTTTTAATAATATTCCTTAGCTGGTAAGCTGGCAACGGCAAACCCGTAACGAGCACACTCACAGGCAGACGATGCTTGCTGTTGCAAGAGAGGATTATTTGCATGCCCTCACCCGACCCGCTATGCTCGGGAAACATTATGATAAATGTCTTGATGCCGCCATAGAAGTGTTATGACTGGCTGTTAGTCAGGCTGTTTGCCTCGCGGTCGGGTCTCTTACTCGTATATTTAGACACCATAATGGCGTCGTAAAAACACGCACTTTACGAGCCGGCTCTCGAATTGCAACCAGCACCGAGCCATGGAGAATTCAATGTGCAACCCACATACGCCCTCCGACTGCATCCATTTGCAGGGCCAAGTGGAATCGTAGCAGCACATGGAGGCGTCAAAGTTGGCCTTGGGATACAGGTAAAATAATTACAAATATCTAAACAAGATATTTAAATATTGGTGCAGTTTGCAGACTTTCAGCGGCATTGAGGCATTTGCAGGAAAATAAATGCAAATTAGCCATATTCCAGGCGGAGCTTTAAGAGGAGAGAGCTGGGGGACACCAGCAGCCTGCCTCTCCTTTGCACAAGTGACGAAACCGTATAAACCCCCCCTGCAAGTGGAAAGGGGAGAGGTGAAGAGTGTGCCACTGCATTCAACCCACCTTGCGCCGGCACGCCTCGCAAGTTCTTTTCAATTAAAAACATTTCCCAGCCCAGCGCTTTGGCAACCGAGCCAGCCAGACGTCTGCTGTGTGTCGCCTGTGTGTTCGAGTCATTTTAGCATATTACTCGGGGATATAATGAGCCCCGAGCAGGGGCTACTCGTTGCTCCTCTCACTCTGTGTGTGGCCAGCAGGGGATTCTTTAAGAGGATTTGATTGGACAGAGACTGAGTGACATTTAAAGCAGGCATTTCCAAGTAAATTTGTTCCAAAGTAAGTTATAAGCCATGAAAGATTAGCCTCCACGGTCTGATTGCATCTTTCCATTACTCACAGAAATGTCCTCGAAATGCAATCAATCCTGCGACGATGTACCCAGAATCAATGAACAATGAACATTACATTTTACTCTTTATTTTCTTTCCACTCAAACAAAAAAAAAAAGAACCCAAACAAGGTCAGTTTGCACGGTCGAAAAGTGTTTCAATTCCCAAAGCACCAAACGAACAAAAAAACACAATAAATAAACAAGCAACGAAAGCATCGAGAGCATCCAATCTATGTTTTCGTACGAGTGCCCAGTGAAAAGTGTTTTATTTGTGTCACGGCACATTTATTCAAAATATCAATAGCACCGCAATAAATTTAAGCCACGACAGGAACGGAACGGAACGGAACGGAACGAGGACTGCCTCCTGGCCGCACTGCACTCGCGTCGCTCGCCATCCGCCATGCCATTCCACGGATGGCAACGATAGGCACTTCGCTTGGATTATAAATGGCGGCACCAGCACTGGTTGTGGCACTGGCTGTGGCACTCCACTGGCTTGCTTGCTTCACTGCATTCGAGGCAGATCATGCTCGCACTCGTAGGATGTAGCAGCGAAGGATTGAATCCGATTGAATCGCTGTAAGTGATTACGTATGTTGAAATAATGCGACCACAGCAGTAAGTCAGGATAATGCTAAAAGGAAAGGAATGCCATAGAAGGCGGATTAACTTACACACTCGTGAAAGCAAGACGACAGCAACAGATTTACAATTTGTGTAAACCCGGCAGTCGAAAATCTGTCTCTCTTTGTGAGTGTAACGAACCAACTGCATGGATATCCATATCGTGTGTATCGATGCCTTTCCGGCACCTCATCGTACCCATTGCCGACCATCCGGATGGCTAACCAGAATGTTTGCAAAGTGAATGTGGCTTGTAAACAAGAAAGAGCCTGGTCACTCACCTACGAACTGTCGTCGTCCCTGGACATGAGTGCGACTGCGACTGGGACTGTGACTGGAACTGGAACTGGGACTGACTCATGGGCCTGGCTGTGGGCCAAGTGTCCTCGAGTCGACTTGGTCGCTCGGTCGCTCGGTCGTTTGGTGCGGTGCTTGAGTTTGAGAAATGGCACTGCAGCCGTCTGGCGCTATTATCGTGTATTTTTCCACGCCACTTTCTTTCTCTCCGTGCCCTGGTGTGGCCGTCTGCGGTCGTGGACTGCCCGTCCGACCATTATAAATTATTATGTAGACACCTTGTGGCAGGCGTTCGAGCCAACATGCGGGTCAGAGTCGCATCCTCCATGCTCCCAATGCTCCCTTGTGGGACAGGGTGGACATTCGGATCGGTCGCTGGCTTTGTTTAATTTCCAATTGCTGTCGAGCGGAGGAGTCATCGTCACCGATGCAAAGTGTCATTAAACTCGAGCCAATGCATTGAGTGTTTACGAGAATTGTTTGCCCGTAGTTCAGTTCGATTGTTCGCTCGATTGTCCGTGCCCAATTACCGATGAAGCTGCCACAATGGATGCCCTGCGAACGGACAGAGCAGCAGCAATATGTTTTCATTTCCCCGACTGTTGCTGTTGTTCCCCGGTTACGAGTGAAAGAGAAATTAGACGGAATGAGGATGGAGGCTGCTTCTGGCGGAGACGCCGGAAATTGCGCTTCACTTTCAGCTGCACTCGCTGCCCCACTTTTCATGCAACGGACAGATGGCCCACGCACACAGAAATGGGGCAGAGGCAGACCTTTTGCATGCAGTCAAGTGCCGGAAGCTTGAAGCATCTGCATGGTATGCTCCTCGTTGCATACATTTGGGCGCCTCAGCAGGAAACTCAACGGACTGTGCATCCGGAAATTAAACATTTTATTTTCTCAAGCCTTGCGGTTGTCTCTGCTTCTAAGTGTGCATCCATTCTCGGTTTGGCTCTCAAAAACACACCCAAAATGAAGCAAAAGGGAATGCACTATGGAACTCTTTCCACTTCGGCAACACATTGGATTTTTCTATCAGAATTGAACGAGACAGCAACATAAATCCATTGCTCCATTGAGTACACACCTATGACAGTCGACATTTCAACTGTGATGGAATGGAATCGAGGTATTAAAGTAAATAAAGTAAATGCGAAGCCAAAGGCATCCAGGAGCATCCTTGGTGGCGGCAAGCTTTTCATCTCGATACGGTGACAGACAATTATAATTGTATTTAATACTTTTGATTGATGCTTTGTGAGCTATACGAGTAGGCAGACAACGCCACACATACACATTCACACCCCATGGGGGGGCCATGGGCATGGCAGTGCCACAGGAGCGGCGTCAGCAAGGTGTGCTGTCAGAGGCGGCAGGAGATATTATTTATGAGTTTCATTGATAAATATAATTTATTTCCCTAATTTATGCCAGCAGGAATTTACTATATGGCTTCCCAGTACTGGTACTGACACATTGGAGGAGTCGCAGCGTATAAATCTCTCCCATTTTGGATGATTCCAAGAGTTTAAAGCTCTACGAACTCCGTTCGGGTATCGACGTAGAAAATGATGAATTATACCTACGCGTAGTGTAGGAGCTTCCTAGCAGCGACACCATTTATCAATCGATGATAGAAATTGGAATTAATTTCCGTTTTGCAGAAAGGGACCATTAATTCAGGCCTCAGCAAGGTAGAGCAAAGGCTCAAGTGAACAGCTCAGAAGTGTCTATAAAATCAGTAGAGAATCAATTTGCAAAGCAAAGAGGAAGCTGGATAATCCAGCGCCAAAGTTGACTGAAATCTGAGCTTTAATTTAACACAAGCAAACACTGATATGCTTGCTTTGACAATTACTTTCCATGGCAAAAGAATGCCGAGCCGAACCGAGGAGAGGCGGAATTGAATCAGTTACTTTCAATTGAGTTATCTGTCTCGTCCTTAAGTACTCTCTGGGTCACGATTCAGTTGAACAGATTTCTCATATGCAGAGCACCACTTCCCACTCTCAGTTCCATTTTCATAGGGACACAAACATTCCAATCCTGTTGTGCACTCGTATTTGTACATCTGTCAGTGGCGGCCACTTGAGGCAAATGTTGGAGCTGGGCTGGGGAATTGACTAACGGTGCGAGGAATATTATTTATGGGCAGTGTGTGTGCATGCGACAAGACGCTCGTTTTGAATACATTAACCTGATTGCACACCACGATTGTATGCACAATACGCTGCCAAGTACTCACATATGCACGAGTATTGTTCATCATCTTTTGATTATCATAAAACATTTACTCTCGAAGATATACGAGTAGTACTTGTGCCAGACACTACAAATATGCAATGTGGACAGGACAATTTATTATACAAAAATAGCAGGCATTAAATATATGACTTATTTTTAAAATACGAAGCCAGGAAAGTTAAGTTTTAAAGTCTAAAATTTACAAAAGTCATTCAGGTAGATTGCTTCATTTCGATTTGATGATTTTCACAGCCATTCCCACTGAGTTCAATGGCTTAAAACTGCAGTTAGTAGCTAACAAAAAGAACTCGAACATGTCGAGTTCCAGTTTCACGTATTTCTGCATTAAACAGCAGCACTTTTACGGCCAGCTCCTGTGGAGGCCAGGGCCGACAAGCTGACCCTTACCTGGTGTTTCTGCTGGTTGGGTTGGGGCGCTCTCCAGCGTGCTATTACCATTGGCCAGTTTGTGTTAACTGCTGCCTGGGGCCATCAGGGCTTTGGGAGTGTGTGCTGCTCGATACAAAATGTTGAATTCGTTAACCAAGACTGGCACGCACGCGATGATCCCAATCCGCTGCACAGTGAGCACTATCTGGCACGTCTTGCCTGAGGCAGAAATAATCAGAAAACTAACCAAGAAATACAAGACAATCTACATCATCCTTGCCTTGAGTAAATGTTGATTATGATTCTGTTGCTGCTTGGATCACTGTGCCATAGATTTCCCCCACACAATGGAAGTTCTGAAGGTGTCAGCAGTGTGGCAACGAAATCTTTTTGCTTTGTGCTGCCTTAAGTTTGTCTTTAACTTGGGAAATCATAGAATCGGCTGTTAACACCTTTTGGGCTAATATTCAAGGACCGACCCATATTTGTGTACATAAATAATTCAGTCGGAAATGAGTTCTTCTCGCGAGAAAGTAATTATGCCATCATCAGTTCAGGCGCTGTTCCCAGTCCGTTGGCACTGGGAGTTGGAGAGCATTAAGGGACGGGGGTAATTAAAATGGCAAAAATAAATGCCTATTAAGAGCATTTACCAGTGATTGACACTTTAAGGCAATTTCCTGCCATAATTCCACGCCGCAAAATGGTACCTCAACAAAGTGTCGTCGCGACAGACCCACGCGGCCACGCGGCAGGCGGCCAGGCGGCCACGGAGGCAAGCAAATGTCGAGCTATCGATTTATGGAAGAAGCGCACACTCAGCCAAGTCAAGGAGGAGAACCGTCACCGTCTCCGTCGCCGTCTAACCCGCTTTAAAATTTTGCTCCCGTTACTTGAAGCCCGTCCGCTGGGTCGTCTCGCCTTTCCCACTCCAGACCCTTTAATTAAAGAACTTTATTTGAGTAGCGACATTTCGTGGGCAAAAGGATTTGTGGAATTACTCATCTTGTGGAACCTAGTGCAAATTATGCTTGTGTGCTCACAAAAAGGAGAGGGTTTACTATCCAGCAAAGTTAAAGTTCAACAATTCCAAACGGAATGGAAGAATGAAGATTGTTATGGGCGATGACTGCTGTTTTGCTACCCACTCCCCCAACCGAAGAGAACTGCAAGCAGAGGCATTTTGTATTAATTAATGTTAAGCTGCGCATTGTACATAGGTACTCCTCGTGCATATGTAATTACTGCAGTGTAATCCATTTAATGAATTTGTACACACCTGTACACAACTTTGTTCGCGGCTTGTTCATTAAAGCAAAGTTTTGCTGAGCTTATTTTCGTGGCAGCGCCAACCGGCCCCATGTGTGTCTGTCTAGTCATGGTATTTGCGGTGCGGCATTGGTTGAATTCTGCAAAATCATGATGCAGACACGGTGCGGGGGGGTTGGAGGCGTAACGAAATCATGTTATGCAAATTATCATAATTCCCAAATGTCAGTCAAAAGAAGTTCGACATACAATCACTTTTTTTTGGGGGTCATCCTGTGATCACATACGAATATGTATCTGCATATCTAAAAATGTATGTATGTACATTTCTTGACTAGACTTCCGCTTCAGGCTTTAGCAAATGGAATGAAACCAATCAATTTAATCAATTTACATTCATATTCAGCATGAATCAATTGGCATTACATACTTATGTTAATTCAATAATAGCGGTCTGGCTTAATGTTTATGGTTGCCCCGTTAATGATATGTAATTGGAGCGACGCGACCAATTTGACTGCAGTTAACATAATCGAAGGGGGGAAATAAATAATTGAGAGTGAGAAATAAATAAATGAGAGAAACAATTGAAGGCGCGATCAGCGGCTGAGACTGCTGCGTAGTTGCTCTCTCCGCTTGATAAGCAATAGAGAGAGAGAGAGAGAGAGCAAGAGCTTTGATGGTCGAAGCTTTAGTTACTCTTTCGTTGGATCAGCAGTGTCTACGTTGGAATAATTCTATATATATATACCATGAGGTTTCAGCATAACCGTAATACCCGCTGCCAGTGTATACAAACAGCTGTAAAACACGATCGGCAGTAAATAAAAGTAGCAAATTGTGCAATGTATGCCTTCAAAGACGAACAAGCGTATATTCTGATTAGATTGAGTGGAAAATAAAGCTCCAGAAGACTGTAAATACAGCAGAACACATTCGATAATCGCGCGAGTGGCCAGTGACCAGCAAAGATCTGTGTGTTGCCATGAACGAGGAGACTCTTGCTAAGTCCGTGCTGTGCGTGGGCTGCACGGTCATCGATTTTGTGACTATCACTGGCAGCTACCCCAAGGAGGACACCGATCGACGCTGCCTGGATGGCTTCTGGCAGCGTGGCGGTAATGCCTCAAATGTGTGCACTGTCTTGGGTGTGCTGGGGTCAAAGGTCGACTTCTACGGCATGCTGAGCACATCGGATGCGTTTCGTGTGCTGCTGGACGATCTGAAACGGCGGAATATCGGCACGAGGCACTGCCCGCACACGGACAAGGATCCACCGTTCTCCTCTGTGATACTTGCCCAAGACACCGGCACACGCACCATCATCCACTGCAACAAGAACTATCCACAAGTCACCTGGGAAGACTTCAAGAAGATCGATCTCCTGCGCTACGGCTGGGTGCACTTTGAGGCTCGAAATGTCGCAGAGACCTCCAGGATGATGGCGAGCATTGTGGAGCACAATCGAGTCAGTGGCGAAAGCATCATCATATCCCTAGACTTTGAGACTTTGTACGAACAAAACCTGCAGCTGTGCTATCCCTGCGACTATGTGGTATTCTCCAAGGAACTGGCCAGCCAGCGGGGCTGGAAGAGCCCAAGGGAAACCTGCGAATCTCTGGCAGCCGACCTGTCTTTGCAGGGCACACGATCACCGCCAGTTATCATCTGTCCCTGGGGCAGTGCAGGCGCTGTCTGCCTGGACGCCAGTGGCAACTGCCACGAGCTGCCGCCGTACAAGCCCCAACAGGTGGTGGACACACTGGGCGCGGGCGATAGCTTCATGGCTGGCTTCATATACGCCGCCCACAAGCACAAGCGGAATCTAGCTGAGGCTGTGGACTTTGCCAATCGTGTGGCCAGCCACAAAATCACCAAATTCGGCTACGATCATATTGGAGAGCTGAGCTTGACCTAGAAACAAATGGGGGGAAAACCCTAAAAGACCAAAAATGCTTCCCCATTTTCGTTGAAAGTTTCCTGCTGCTTCCTTGAGGATGTCAGCGCTTATATATTTTCACAAATTTTATAAACTTGTCAAAGTCATTACGAATATATGTATATATGTATTGTATGTATTATGATTATATGTTTTTAGCAGCGACCGATGCGGCGGCCTGCTGCAACTCAGCCGCCCTGCACTGACCGTATCCAGCAATCTTTGTGGGGAGCATGGCAGGATGATTGTTACTGCTCCGCAATCGAATGCCCAGTGGCTGTCTATGTGAACTTCATAAAGTCTGCTCGCTGGTCGTCCATGTCCGAGCCGATTGCCGAGGAGTGTATGCCAATGCCGCTCGAAGCACCGCTCTGCTGCTGACTGTTGTTGGCTTCGGTGAGCTGTGGAGGGACAAAAAGAATGCTGTTAGAATGCATTTTCCTCAGTGATGCAGGGCCCTACCTTGGCCCGCAGGCGCTTTATCGTGCGCAGTCGTTCCAGCCAGTTGGAGGCATACGGATTCTGTTTCTGCACACTCTGATAGACAAGCGAGGCAAGCTGAAAGACATTACGACATTTCGTTAGCAGTTAAATTCGTTCATTAAGTGCCTCTACTCACATTAGCATGCAGCGCCATTTGACGGGCGAGCAGCGGAGCGCTGCGATCAGACACAATCCTCGGCTGTGGATGGCAGACAAACTTTGATATCTCGGAGCGAGCCTTGACGTACACCCGATTCGAGTTCAGTTCCAGGGGTTCGACAATCACACAAGCGTAGTTGAATTGGCCCTGGAAAGGAGACAGTTAATGAACCACTTTCGGGATGCCTAGTGTCAGTCCAGTGGCTCTTACGGATATGGTGTTCAGGTTATATTCTTCGCCGCTTTCGTTGTAAATGATCTTGACGAAATCGTTGCCAATGTGGCCCTTCTTCTCGTTGCAGTTGGGATCGTCCTTCAGCTTGGTGGGCATCAGCGTGGCCACGTGAAAGGTCACCTGCAGAATGTCATCCTTCCAGATGTACGCAAACTTCCCATCGGCCCCGTTCCTGTCGAGCCCAATGAAGAGATTGTTCTGCTCGGCCTCCTTCAGACTGACCAGCGTGCCGATGTTGCGCAGGAACTCTATGTAGCGCGAGCTGCCGTGCGAATTGCGCAGGATTTCGACCTCGTTATTGCACTGCCCCTGGCCCACGTACAGCACACCGATCTTGTGCGTCTCGAAGGGCGGCACGAGGTCGAACAGCGTCACGGCATTCGAGTGCTCGGGCCCCAGCTTCAGCGGCATTTCCGTGACACCCAGCGATCCCGTGCTGTACAGCTGCAGGAACACAAAGCTCGGATTCATGCACAGCTTGGCATTGATCGGCGGCTTGGCGGGACCAAAGTTGCGGAAGCTGCTGGCCGGCGGGGGACGTGCCTTGCCATTGATCACCTCACGCACCGTCGAGATGGTCTTTGAGCGTCCCCTCATCATGTCGCCATTGCCGTTGCCATTGTTGCCATACTCCGAGCTGCCGCCCACATTCGTGCCATTGCTGCCACTGCTGCTGGACTTAGCCACGCCCTGCATTTGCTGCTGCGGCGGCCCAGATGCGCCGCCGAAGCTTGTGATCTTGTTCGCCGCCAGCAGCGGTGACTGTTTCACGGCAGGCACTGCGGCAGTCGTAGCCGAAACAGGTGCTGGCGACAACGGAGGTTTGGCTGCCGTGGGCAGGGCAACGGCACCATGCTGACTGCTGACGTCGTCCGCCGAATGCTGCTTGGGTGGCAAGGTGCCGCTCTCTGGCTGCAGATCTTGGACAACTTGCGGAGGCGTTGAGCCAGCTATCTCCTCCGGTATGGCCTCGCAGCTGACACGCATATCCTTCGTGCTGTACTGGACACTCTTCTTTTTCAGCGTGAGCTGGCTCTGCGGCTCATCCGCCACCTTGACGGGCTCCTGGGACAGCGGCGCCGGTTTGGCCGTTAGAAACGCCTGCCGCCAGCTGGAGCTCATTTCAGGGCTGGAGTTGACGCGACGCACGGGATTGCGGGCCCGATTCTGCGCATCCTCAAACGCCAGCGAGTCGTCGTCTGCCTCACCGTCGCTCACACTGCCGCAGAGAGCTGCCTCCTTGCCGCGTTTGCCAGGTGCGGTTACCCGTGGTATGGGAATCGCTGCAGTTCCCGAGGGACCACCACCACCATTGCCATTCCCATTGCCATTGCCGTTGCCACTGCCAACACCGCCAACCGAATGAATCTCCTCCTGGCGCTGCAGCGCTCGGGCTTTGGCCCGCAGCTCGCTTGTGGGTGGAGCAACAGCCGCACTTGGCTGTGGTTCGACGGCCTGTTCTTCTGGAGCTTCCTGTTCCCCATCTGCTTCCGGTTGCGGCTGTCCCTGCACCGTGCTGTCGTGCAAAGTGCTGTCCGGCCCAAACACTCCCCCGTAGGCCGTGGGCAAGAAGAGCGACACGACATTGTTGAAAGGCAGATCCTGTCCAAAGCAGTCGTTGGTGATGGGGTTCTGGATGCGCGTAATCCACGAGATGTTGCCAGTCGGACGCCGGATGAAGATCTCCGCCCAGCCGGTGCACGCCCGCACACAGACCGGCTGCTGGACAACAGATCCCGCGGGACTCATGCTGGCCGAGGACTGCGACAAGGAGTTGCCCAGCAGCGAGGTGTTGCTTCCCGTGTGTGGTCCATCGCCAAGTCCTCCGCCCAGGGCCTCGGGATTGGAGCCCCGCCGCGACAGCGCATCCAGCGAGGCTGTCGAGCTGTTGGAGATCTGTCTGTGCGGATGGCCTGTGGCCGCCGAGTTGGACGAGGAGGAGGAGGTGAGCTCGGTGCTGCCGGCCGACTCGTTGCCGCTGCTATGCTGCAGGCTCACCTTCGTGTATCGTCGCTCTCGCTCGGGGGAGAGTGGTGCCGTTGCGTCGCTCAGGCTCTTCGAGTTGAGGCTGATGCTGGGGGCTTTGCCCAGCTGTGCGCACCGCTCGCAGAGGCCGCTGCGCGTGGGTGCAGAGGGGCAGCCGGAGGTGGTGATTGTCACCAGATTGTTGCCCACCAGCCAGGTCTGCGAGACGCCATCCTTCAGCAGAAATTCGGCTGCTGGCAAACTGCAAGACAACCAATAAAAAGGGGCTTAAAACGGGAGCCTAAAGATGCTTCTTTTTTGCGTACCGCTTGGGTGGCGACGGACACGGCGAGAAGGTGTGACGGGCGAGGAAATCGAAGCAGGTCTCCGCCAGCTCCGTGTGAAAGTTGCGCAGGCCATTGTTCATCTTTGGTCGCATTTCGGGATCATTTCGGGTCGTGGCATTCTTCCGACTGCCCCGCTCCGTGAGGCTGGTGCTGCGCTTGCGACTGGACGAGTCCTCGTTCAGGGAGTTCAGGTTGACAATGTCGTTGGACAGCATCTTGGCATTCGACTGCATCGACTGCGGGGATGGGGAGTGAATGAGAAAGAGCAGATCGCTGAGTCTGGGTGCCCCCACTTACGCTCTTGATGTAGTTCACGCAATTCTTGCGCAGCTCCAGCTTGCACTTGAGGAACCAGCCGGCTATGACGTGGTGGGCCAGCGACACTGTGTAGTGGTCGTAGCGATGCGGCTTCGTGTACGGCAGTGAAATGGCAAATACGTACATGTTGTGCATGGACGTGAAGTTGGTGAAGAGATGCTTCGACAGGTGGATCAGCACTGCCCAAAAGAATAGAGGGTAAAAGTCCGTGGGATATTCCATTTACTTACACGACAGAAACTCCAGCACGGGAATGGCCAGCGTGTTCGTGTCGGACATCTTGCTCATCTGCAGCAGCACCTCCGGCAGCTTGCGCATCAGCGACTCGGGCATCTCCAGTATCAGGATGGTCATCGTGTTGATGCACACGCTGGCAATGCCAGTCAGCACGCGCGCATTGAGCGCCGTGATGATGCTGTAGTGATGCGGCGGCTGCAGGCACTCGTGGTAGATCACCAGCGAGGCGATGGCCGGCAGCACCAGAGCGTGAAACTCATCGGTGGAGCGCCTGAATTTGTTGTTGCTGACCGAATTGATTTTGAACAGCGTGTTGGCCAGCTCCTCGATGTCGGTGCCTTGGATGAGCGCCTTGTTCTGCAGCATTTTGGGCAGCTCCTTGATGACCAGCTCGAACACCTGAAAGTCCGTGTCCTGCTCCAGGCACCGCACAATCAGCTTGCAGACGCGTCGTATGGATATCGCAGTGGCATGCGCCTGCGGCAGCAGCGGCGACTCAATGCCCAAATAGTGGCTGAACTTCACAGCCTCCTTTCCGCCCGTTTCCGGATAGCCAATGTGGTAGGAGGCATTGGCCCGAGCCTTGAGTATCCAGGTGAATATCTAGGGAATAAGTGAAATTATATAAACAGCCAGTCCAGGTGTTTGTTTACTCACTTTAAGGCGCACAATGCTGGTCTGCTCGAAGATCTTGGGCCAATCGTAGTGGAGCTCGAGGTGCTCCAGCAGAATGTTGAATATTTTCATGGCATGTGCAGCTGGAAGGCGGTGCAGCTTGGTGGCAAACACCTTGACCAGCCCATCGACGGCAGCAATGATGTCCGCCACCTCCGACTCATTCTTGATAATGGCCACCGACCCCTCCAGCAGAGGCGCCCCAGAGTCGGCAGCGGCCAGGTGACGCATGTGCTCAAAGGGACGATTAATGAGCGCCTCAAGCGTGTCCAGCAGATCCACACACCGCTTGGTGTCGCAGTGCAGGGCAAAGTTGGACAATGCCCGCGCAACGGCCACACGCACCTGCACACTGGGCTCCTGATGGATCTGCGCCAGATGGGTAAGGACGACACGATTGAGTATCTCCTCCTCGTAGCAGGCGCGGTTCTGGTCCATAATGCGCACCAGCGACTCGATCGTCTTGATGCGTACATTCACATTGGCCATGCGGTAGTAGCGGCGGATGAAATGCGTCAGCACCTGCAGCCACTCCGGCCGTGTGGCTGTCACCTGACGCGATCGATACTCGATCAGGGCTAGGACAGAGGCTTCTGGGCGCCTCTCTGCCACACGCTCGATGAGATCGTAGATGCGATCGACGTTGCCCAGTATCTGCGAGCGATCCTGCTTCAGCAGCTTCTCGATGCAGTCGATGTTCTCGTGGAAATTGATCTGCAGAGGCTGCAGGCGCTCCTTGTTCATGCCCGAGACCTCTGTGTGGATGGAACAACAATTAATATCAGACATAAAAGAACCCATTAAGCGTGTACCTACCGTAGAACTCAATGTTGTTCACAATCGCCGACATAATGTCACAGATTCTGTCCCAAATGATCTCCGAGAGGCCCGTCTTGTTGATCACCTTTCGCACGCTGAGTATCACCTCGAATGTGACGATCACCTGTCGACTATCCAGTGCCTGAAAAGAGTCACAAGAAATACTTTTAAAAATATAATCATGGATAGTGCAAATAGTGGCACTTACGCGCAGGAAACCAGTGAGCACATTCGTCGCATACGCCATCGATGAGACCTGGAAAATGATGTTCGAGCAAAAGATGTTCATTGTCAGGTGGAAGACAGCTCCGCGCAACAGCTGCGCATCGTCGTAGAGGGAACGATCGTTGAGGATGCTGAACATTATCTTCATGGAATGATAGCCCAGCTGGGTGCCCAACAGATTCTTCATTATCTGCAACGAATAAGTGAGAGTGGTGGGGGGAGTTCTCCTGAAATTCTGTCGTAGTGTTTTGAATCATTTCTATAGTTATTTTTGGCAGAGATTCTATTCAAAATTCCAGATGAAAAAGCAAATCGTTCGGGAGTTCATTACGGTCAAGAAGGTGCGCTACTTGCCACGGCAGCCTTCGCCCCCACCGCAGCCACCGCCACCGCCGCCACGCCAGGTGCTCGTGGTGGGTAGCTGCACCTTGGATCTGGTCACGGTTTGCGAGTTTCATCCTACGGCCGGCGTGGATCAGCGCACCAGCGAGGGTTGCTGGCGGCGGGGCGGCAGCGCCTCCGATATGTGCAGCGTTCTGCGTCGCCTGGGCACGCCTTGCGAGTTCCTTGGGCGACTGAGCAGGGCCAGTGCCTTCGAGGAACTGCTGACCAGCTTCCACTCGATGGGCATCGACATTTCGCACTGCCCAATGTCGGCCCAGCAGCCGCCGCATCGCAGCATCATCACCATACGCGGCAGCGAGACGCACACCATACTGGAGTACTCGAATCGAAGGCAGGAGCTCACCTTCCAGCAGTTCATCGGGGCCATCGACTACCAGCGGTACTCGTGGGTGCACTTCGAGTGTCGCAATCCCATGGAAACGGTGCGCATGATACGCGCCGTGCGCGCCTTCAACGAGCGCTGCCCTGAGGCGAGAATCATTCTGTCCGCCGATCTGGGCAGCCTGAAGAAGCCCAGCCTGATGGTGGCCGATCTGGTGGATTATGTGTTTGTCCGCAAGCAGCTCAAGCAGACTTATTCGTACATGAACGGCCACGAGACGGTATGGGCTGTACGCGATGGACTGCGTCAGGTGCGTGCTGAATGGGAGAAAGATCAGCCCAGAAAGACGCCCCACCCCACACAGGGCACCCCTCCCGTAGACCCGAACCTCTGCCCGGGGCCGCCACAGAACGGCCCCACAATTATCTACAACAACTATGCGGAGGGTGCCAGCTGCCTGCTGCCCGAGGACAGCTTCTTCAAGGTGGGACCTCACACGCCGCAAAAGATTGTGGACGTGATCGGTGAGAATGAGACATTTGCGGCGGCGGTAATCTATGCTCTGCTGGAGGCAAAGCTGCGGCTGCGCGACGCCCTGGCATATGGCACTCGGGCGGCCGTCTTGAAGGTACAACAGAACGGATTCGATGGTCTGCGCTGCCTGCCCAAGGATCTCGTTGGATGCTACTACGCCTAAGCGATGATTGAGCGGCTGAGTTCATGACCAAACTGGGTTATCAAGCATCAAGCGCTGCTCTAAGCAAGAGTTTTGGCCTTGAGTTTGGCTGGAAAAACACCCAACCGCTGAGGAATCAAAGTGTACAGATTCATTGATCGTTGTTTAGTTAATCATCCATCTGGCAGCATGTCGCGGCTGTCGATAAGAAGTCCCGCAGAATGTGTAATTCTCTGATAAGACGGTGCTGTGTCTGTGGATGGATGGGGGCTCCATTGCAAATGCCAAATTAGATATTGACTCGAGGGAATTTTCATTAGCATTAATAATCGAATGTCAATGCAATCTCGGAAGCGATTGCCACAAAAGCGATGATGTGATTCGTCTTGAGGAGGACATAAAAAGGTGCCCGTCGTCAAACCAGTGCCGCATTCGCTATTCGAAGCGCAACAAGAGACTAATTCAAATGGAGAGTGAGTGTGGAGGAGGGAACAGGAGACGTTCGGATGCTAAACCAGAGCTTGTTTGCTTGCAGATCGTTCAATGGTGATTCTACTGCTACTGGCAGTGAGTGTGGCGAGTGGCAGTGCTGCGCATGACCCGAGAATCGCCGCTCTGTGTCGGCTTTCGACCGCCTGGAGACTGCTGCCCGATGAGCGACACTGCGGCAGGTTCTATGTCTGCACTGGGGATGCAGAGGATGCCTACCAGGAGTTCAGCTGTCCGCTCCACTATCGCTTCAGCGCCGAGCAGGGTATCTGTGTGCCCGGTGCCTGCAACGAGGTGACCAGCTCCTGCAACGTTTCCACCAGTGCGGAGCGCATACCGAGCGACTGCACCCGCTACCGCCGCTGCACGCCAGCAGGCGCCTACTCAGTGGCGCGATGCGTCAGTGGCAGCTACTTTGACACCGGACGACGCGCCTGCCTGCCAGTGGCCGTGACGGCAGCACACCAGTGCAGCTGCCTGCTGCCGGACCACGCCACGGTGGCCAATCCGAGCGACTGCGAGACCTACTATCGCTGCGAGAGCGGCGAGGCGGTGCTCGTTCAGTGCCCTGCTGGCCAATACTTTGAGAGCAGCGTGGGCAGCTGTCTGCCGGACACGACCGGCATCTGTTTCGAGAAGCCCACATTTCCGCCGTTTCTCACGGACCACGCGCTCGCCCTGGACGAGTGCATCAGAACTGGCAGCCGGCTGGCGCCCCACAGCAGGGACTGCGGCCGCTACTATGTCTGTGCGGACAAGCGTGTCCTCGAGATGAGGTGTCCCAGGGGTCAATACTTTGATGCGGTGCACCATTACTGCGCTCTGGACCTCGCCAGTGAGTGTCAGCGACCTGAGGACGACCTGAGCGAGGCGAAGACTCTCGAGGTGACAGAGACGGCGGCGATAGCAAAGAAACCACCGCCACCACCAGAACGGGAAGTCGTCGCGAATTACGATAAATTCTCGTCAAAGTTTGTTTCGTTTTGAGACATTTAAAGTACTTAATAAAAAGGTTATAAGATCCACATCACCATCGTCTCAGAGAGAGAGAGAGATGCCTTCCTGCATGCCAAACAGGATCACCAATCGGACAGAAATCTATGTAAATCTCACCTTGTGGGAGGACGGGCAGTAGCTCAAACAGTCGACAACTCGACACAGCGTGATAATGCACTGTGGAAGCGGCTCGCTGGGGAATATGGTGTAGCCAATGACCATCTCCAGAATGGTGAGGCACTGCAGGCCGATGTCGACGTCGGTGACGGTGCAGCTCAATTCGCAGGCATTCCTAAGCAGAAGGGAGAAACGTAAAACATATGCTGAGATTATATTTGACAAGATCACCCACTGTACGATTCCAACGAGAATGTCTTTGTCCAGATGGGCTGCATTAAACTTGATCAGATTGACCAGCATGTCCAGGTACGGGCAGAGGAGATTGGCCTCTGTTATTGCTGGGATCCACAGCAGCATGAATTTGCCAATCTGCCAATTAACGAATGGAAATTTAGTTAAGAATTCTCCAAGCACATGGTTCAGGGTTACCTTTTCTTCAAAGTTTGTGATATTCTTGCCGTTTTCCGTGAGTGTGTCCAGCAGCTCGAGCAGATGCCGCAGGTCCTCCCGCGCCTCGTGGTTCTGGATGACCAGAAAGAACTTCTCCCTCATGAGAGTGAGGTTCTTGTACTGTGTGTGAATGAGTCGCTTGTAGAAGCTCAGGGCAATCTGTCGTGTTTCCGCCGGCTTGTTCGGCACTATGAGATCGTTGGTGAGATTCCACAGGTTGGTAATGGAAGTCTGTGGGGACGGAAGATAGCTTTAGAACTGGTTTCGCTCCCAGTCGTCTGCCTGCTACACACCTCATCCAAGTTAAAGTTGTTCAGCGTGTCGCCCAGCTCCTTGAGCATCTTGCACCGCTGTGCGACGGGCTGTTCCGGTCGCAGCTCCCGCTCGTATGGCCGCAGTCTGTTCTCCCCTGCATTGCCTGTGCAAAACGCAGCATTAATACAAATAAATAAAAAGGGCCCGACGACGGTGGTGCTCTACCCAACAACTGGAGTCGTTCATTACCTGTCGGTATGTGTTTGATAAAATTTTTGAACTTTGACTTGTTGTTGGAGCTCATAGTGGATCGTTCTCTGGGCGGTGGTCGGTAAAACAGCTAGCAGCGTGCACAATTTTTAGTTATTTTCGATTCTAATAACAATTTACAGGCCCCAGCTGCTGCTGCATGCAGTGTGACCGCGGACTTATCGATAAAATAACCGCCCGACCCTCGAAAAGAAACCTAAGTATAGCTTCTCCTTTTCAAAAAATAAACAATAGACCCGTTGAAAATCATATTCCGCGATTTTGCTATTCTTTTGAATATTACCAGCTATTTTGCACTCTCAGCACTCAAACTATAAGTTTATCCAATTGATGAATCAATTCTCCACAAGATTAGTGAGCATTCTAGACTTGTTTTTATTTAATTGTTTACAATATAAGGTTACAACTAAAAAGGTAAATACAAAATAACTTAGCAAAAAATGTAGGAATGCAGCGTAAATGGGAATGCAATGTTACGTAATTTGACTACTCGAAGTATTTCAAACAGTAGTAAGGCCTATCCATTAATTAATGTTAAAGTTCCGTTTTCCAGGCAGACTTTTAGCTGCTACTTGCCATGTACACAATAAATGAAATTGTCACGGAGGCACCTAGCGGCGAACCCGGCAACTACATGCCCACAAAATGTAAATCTACATAATTTTTACAGGGGTGTGTTAGCACAACAAGGTGAGTCCAAAGCTTGCTTTAGTGAAACATATCTCAGAATGTTTCAACTTTTCGAAACAATATAATAAAAGGAAGTCCATCCAGAACATTTAAATCGTGGAGATTTGATTTGTGCATCGAATAAAATTATAAGTTAAACGCAAAAAAAACGAACTTGCTGGTTATATTAATCGGAATATCAAATTCGTGGAAATGGATTAGGTATGAATTGTTTTTTCCGGTATATTTTGTAAATGAAAAGTATATCTTGGTATATTTTTCGTGGGTCGTACAGCATATTTTATCGATAACAGACGGTCACACTGAAAGCAACTGTGAAAAAAATGTACTTTTATTAACTTCTTTTTACCTAATTTCTAAACATTCCAACAAAAGGAATTCATAAATTCATAATTATATTGTGGAGAATTTATTGATGAATCGGATAAAATTATAGTTTTTGTGCGAAGACTCCTACCCAGCCAGTAATATTAAATAGAACATAAAAATCGATGAAAATGATTTAAGTTTTACATTATATTTACAGTATATTTTGAAAATGCAAGGTTATATTTTGGTATATAGAATAATAGAGGGTCGTGCGGTATATTTATCGATTCATATTCGGTCACACTCGACGCGTCTGTGAACAAAAAAATTATTTTAGTTTTTTGAACCTTGAAAAATTCTATTCATTTTAACTAAGCTGCGCATCTAAGCGTCTAGTTTCTCTGCCACATTCTAAAGTTTTCACCCGTTTTCCTCCCGCGATTGCACAGTGTCGTCAGTGTCACTTTTTCGTTGCTTTCCGCGCTCGCTAATTGGCAAACCAGATCCACGGAAAAGTACATACGCAAAAGGAACAAGAAGAACAAAAGGAGGAAAACAACAGTTAGTCGTCAAATCTACGAAGCGCGTCTGAGCTAGGAATAAGCTCTATTCTATTCACACACAACCAAACGTGCAGGTATGTATACACATGTAATAAATTAACGCAATATTTGAACATCTGATTATTACCCTTATATTTGCGTGCAGTCGCCGACGACGTCGTCGCGTCGTCCATATATCACCAAAGTAAAGTAGTCTTATTTGGTTGTGTTTGCGTGTGTGCATGCGAACTTTTGCCTTCCTGCCATCTACTTGTGTGCATGTGTCATGAAATGCAATTTTTATTTGGCATTTTTCGCGCCTCAGATTCCAGGCGTATTGCTCTTGATTTCTATACCCGGTGCTTCCAATGCATACATGGTACTCGTACAGTATGGTACAGGGTACCGTGTAGCAGAGAAACTCAACACCTATGGATGCCCTTCTCCAAGTGAAAAATAGTGTCAGAAATTACAGTTGGACTGGCCAGTGCCTGCTGTGATCAGGTTACCGGGTATCCATATGTCGAGTCACTCGACTATAACGTTCTCTGATTGTTTTGGGGAAACAGCGCCGCCATTTTTGACATATTCTCGTCGCCAAACATTAGTCGGAATAAGTTTCAGTTTCAGTCACTTACTAATCCGCGATTCATTGTGTTTTAAAAACCAGATTACCATGAGCTCGACGGAAGATAACAACAGCCCGGCCACCACGCCCCAGGAGGGTGAGGCCCCTGAGCAGACCAATCCCAGGGATCTGGAGAAGATTGAGGAGGAGAAGCTCAAGTCAAAGTACTCGAGCGGCATGCGTGTGCCCGGAGGCCACTCTGCGTTCCTCCAGAAGCGTCTGCAGAAGGGGGTAAGTGTGCCATGTGCCGATGCCCCATGGTTCGTCTCACATAATCGTTGTATCTGTCCCTTCTGCAGCAAAAGTTCTTCGATTCGGGCGACTATCAGATGGCCAAGCAGAAGGGTGGCAGCGTCAAGCAGGTCTTTGCCAACAAGGTGTCCACCGGCGAAGCCATACCAACGCCCGAGACCGTGCCGGCACGCAAAACCTCGATCATTCAGCCCTGCAACAAGTTCCCAGCGACGAGCTAAGCTCTCGTAAGCTGCCACCCCCAAGCACCCAAACAAACACACATCCCCCAAACGCTAAGCAGCAGCCCACCCCTCAAATGCTCCTAATATCTTATCTTAAATTCTATTGCTAATTGCGGCGCACTTTCGGCACCACTATGAGATTTCGCGTATGTTTCAATTGGTCTAAATTGTATCCCCCACAAAAAGAGCTGCTCCCCGAACCTTATTAATTTTTAAGTGAAACTGTATTGCATATTCCTTTGGCTAAACACCCATACACACCTACTTGTCCACCCAAAATCTCAAGATCAAGTCATTTCTCATGCCAAGGAAGTTGGGCAGCACGGAGCTTGTTGCAGAACATTCATATAATGTACCCCAATCTGTGTAACATTATCTTAACTTACCCAGATTGGATGTAGCCTTAAGTATTACCAGCATAATAAACATAAGTTGGAGCCAGCAAGCTAAATTTTTCTCGTATTGTAAGACCTCCCAGAAGGCACAAGTCTCGTTCAAGCTTGCCGAATTCAATTTTTAATGCGAAAACCAAACTGTCGTAATAGAATCTGTTGTAAATGAGTCCATGTATATGGCATTATAATGAACTAAAATAAAAAATCCTGTTCGTACTACCACATTTAAGTGTTATTAGATTAAACTTGTAGTCTCAGTTCGGGAAAAAGTTACATATGTACCTCTGAAAGGCATACAGTGGAAATTTTGAATTATATAAATATATTTTGTGTGGTAAGTCTGTTTTTAAATTAAGCGCCGAACCTATCGATATTCATCGATTGTCATAGTGCCCACCACTAGCTTGTGTATTTGGTGTGTCGCGCTGAAAATGTGTGACCAGTTGCCAAAAACACCAATCGATTTTAATAACAATTTATTCTCATCCGCATTTTAAAAACAAATATTTATGGATGCATTCGACGAGCGCACCCACAGTCTGCTCGAAGTGGTGGCTCACCTGGCCTTTCTGTTGGGCGCCGAGGAGAGTGGACCGAAAAGGCCAACAGCTGCGTCGGTGGCCAGGAAGCGCAGCCAGATTTTCGATTCTCTGCTGCGGAATGGCACAATGCCCGCCTCCATGAAGGAGGCGCTCTTGCGGCAGGTGTGCAGGGACATCAGGAGCGAGAGAAAAGATGAAACGTTGCGCCACTTCCAGCAGATACTCGGCTCTCAGGATCCGTTCCTGGATGCTGCTGACTGCAAAGGACCGCAGAATGATGCTGAGTGCAAAACGGTGTCCAGGTTCAGGCTCAAGCTTCTACAGCCAGGACCACTGCAGCTGAAAAAGCCGGCCAATGATAGTGAAGGGTATGCAGCCCTAAGTGATCTTAAACCAATGATGCTAACCTCCATCGATGAATTGCGACGGAAAGGCAACCCGCTCCATTTCACGCCCCGCTCTGGTTTAGCCCTCGTCAGTTTAAGTGAGAGGCGCGCTCCCCCCAAACGATTGCAGTTGCAGGTCCCCTCCGAGACCTGCTCCGCCATCTCACAGTCCTTGGCACGCATTAGGGAGCCAAAGGACCAAATGATGCGCATAACATATCGCCTACCGCTGCCAACGAAAAGGCCACCGCCTGATAAAACCAGGGCCCGGGATGAGCTGAAGAAAAACTTCATAGCCAAGGCTATGCCCGAGAAGCACTTCTTGTCGGATACTAGCATGAGCAACGAACTGTTGCTGAGCCAGAACAAAGATTTGGTGCTGCATTACGTCGAGCAGGAGGTGCTAATTGACCACTTGAAGAAGGCAGCCGCAGGTCTGCAATCAGAGACCTTCCAGTGCTCAGCCGAAGCCGGGGATCTACTTCAAATAAAAAGAAACACCACGGTGCGAACAGTGCTGCCCGAGGTGCTGTCCGATTTTGTAGAACCATTCATGCGGTCTGGCACCGCCTTCCGACGCCTTAGTGCGCGCGTCAAGAGCGGAGGGCCCCGCCAGGAGGGACCGCTTAATCGGGTAATTCGCTCACTCTCGAATCTTCATCTTTGCCATTACTAAATAACCTATCTTTGCAGGCCATGCGGGACATCCTCATTGATTTGTTGGCCACTAATCGACAGTTTTTGCATTGCCTGCCCGCCGAAAGCTTCTCGCAGTTGCTGCTCTCAGCCCAACCTGCCATGCAAATGATGCAGCATCTCGAGATGATGTTCGATGCAGAACCTAGTCGTAAGCATTTGGCATGCCGATCCACCTCTCATCGTTAATATTTGACCGACATTTGCAGTGAACTTGAACTTGGGTGTGCCTGGAACTGTTCTCCTGACCAGCATTGGGACGGCCATTGACAAGTGCCGAAACAGCGACTTCCTGCAGCTGCTGATGTATCTGCTGAAGTGCATGTGCCAGACATACTTTGCCCAGCTTCAGCGGTGGGTCTACAGGGGCGAGCTGGACGAGGCGGTGAACGAGATCTTCATCAGACGCCGTGCGCCACTGAATTCACAGATTGACGAGTGCAGCAAGGAGTTCTTCGACAAGGGTTACCAGCTGCACCTGGAGGAAGTTCCAGACTTTCTGTCTGGCTGCGAAAACATCATTTTGCAGTGCGGGAAGTACAATCGCCTGCTCAAGGCTTGCAATGCTCAGGTGAGAGAGTTATTTAGCGAAAGGAATGCATTGATTATAATCAATTGCACAATTACAGCATCCAGTCTTTGATGAGGAGTACCCCGATATAGTAGTATGTCTCTCGGAGGAGCAGCTCACGACGATGCGTACCAATTTAAACGATAAATATTGCCGGGTCCGTCAGACCTTTGAGGAGTGCAGTATGAAGAGTATTTTTGAGGAGCGGATGGCATCCAAGCTTCGATACAAGAACCGCATGGTCGAGCAAACGGCGTCTTTTATTGCCGCCTGGGAGGAGGAGCAGCGCGAGCTTCTCCTGGAAGCGAATGCCAAGAAGCGGCTGCGCTACAATCAGATGAACGCAGAGCAGGAACTCCAGCAAAAGAATCGTATCGAACAGCGCCGCCAGGAGGTCGTTCAAGAGCTGCAGCATCAGCGAGAACGTGAACGGTACGATGATCTGCTGCTGGAGCGTGAGAAGCAGGCGCTCTTAAATCAAATACAAGTGCTACATCAGAGGGAACAGGCAGCGGAGGATGCTTCCGAATCGGATATGGCCATGAGCCCCGATCATAGTTCAAATACGAGTTTTCAATCTTGCCTTGAAGCCCCTGAAGCAGATGCAGAAGCAGACCCAGTGGACACTCCTTCATTGAACGATGAAGAACAAAATGAAATAGTTCCAGAGCCAGCACCCGTCTCTGTCGTGCCATATCACAGAAGTCACTCGGATGTTCTCAATTCCAATGAAGAAGAACCCTCCTTACCCACTGAGCTGGATCGCAATCGCAGGCACATGTTGTCCTCCGCCCTGTTGCAGGAGTGCCAATCGGAGGTGCATCTGGAGCAGTCTTCCAGCTCAGGCACAGAGTTACGGGCACTCCTGCCTCCGGACATAAACATGAACCTCAATAGATTGGAGGACACTGCGGAGCAGAGTGATCTGGAACGGAACCGTCAGCGTATGCTGCAGCATGATGGATTCAATGCCTTCAACTCCACCGAGGATGTGCACACGCAGCGCGTCAAGTGCCATCTGAGTTCCAATTCGGCGCTGGCCATTAATCGGCGACGGGTGATGGCAAGCGAATTTGATATTCCGAGTGTTTGCAGAAAAGCCACAATCAAAATGGCTTCGATTGCGGAAAACGGTTTGCACTTGCCACTCGAAGTGCACAAGCTGCATGTGGTACAGCCTCTGGATGTCGGTACTCCGATGTCCACCACATCCGATGTGGATATTGATGGACTTTCCGACCACATTCCACTTCAAAAAGATGATGCTTCTGAAACAGATGCTGGTGAAGAGAACAACAGCCTGGATCCTGCAACACCTTTGTCGCTTACTCCATTGCCTGCTCAGCCTGCGCCAGCACTACAGGCTACAAGAGCGTCTTCAGGAGCCAGCAGATTCCAAACTGTTGGGTGGCCAACGAATTTTGGAAAGGTGAAAGAGCTGCAACAGCCGCAGAGCTCAGTCGCCTCGGTGCCGGAGTCGTGTAATCCATTTATGGCCAGGCGCTGTCTGCAAATGTCCGTGATGGAGCCCGTCAGTGCGCACTACGCGCTGCTTCGCAACGAGGTGCTGCGCATCTTCAAGGAGCAACGAGTCTACGAGCACTTTCGCATGCTGAGAAACTACTTCTTTCTGCTGAACGGCGAGTTTGGCACACAGCTCACAGGCGGCATTTTGGATCACATTAGGGTGGGAATGGATCCGGGCAGCCTCTGCCAGAAGGGTGTGCTGGACGCTATTCTCAACAACGCGCTCGGAGGCTGTGCGGCTGGCGAGGACGTCGTCGTTGCACAGAATCTCACACTGGAATGCAAAAAGATACCGGATGGCTTGGACTTCATGTCTCTGGATGCCACGTCCATGTTGACGCTAAATTGCAAAGTGAATTGGCCGCTAAGCTTGGTGATCAACGGCGAAACAATCATCAAGTATGGACAGATCTTCGAGCATCTGCTAAAGCTGCGTCATGTCACCTTTGTTCTTGAGGGCTCCTTCCAGCATCTCCAACTGCTGGCAAAGCAGCACGGATCAGCACTCCGCACTGCCCTGCAGTTTAGGCACCTGCAGGCGGTGCGCCACAAGCTGTCACACTTTATGACCACATTGCAGACCCATCTCGTGGCTAATGCGCTGCAGGCCACCTGGAACTCCTTCAAGAAGGACTTGTGTGGGTGCGACTGCATCGAGGGGCTCTATAGGATGCATGTGTCGTACTTGAAACGTGTGGCATTCCTGGCGCTGCTCAATCGTCGTAGCACCAAGATCAAGGAAACCATTGACGGCATTCTTGTGATTGTTATGCGGTTTTGCAAGTACGCTTTAATCCCTTAAAATGGTCGCCTACGATCTAATTCCACCTTCCTTTACAGGGTTCTCGAGTCGCAGTCTTTCGCTATGGAGGGAGAAGAGTTGGTGCATCCGCGCTACAAGCGCCTTGTACACGAGGAGGCAGAGTTTGAGAAGTTCCTGCAGTACTTCATCTACTTGGGCAACAAGCTGGCTGCCTCCGGGTACCAAGAGGAAATCGGAGACCTGATACGTGTTATTAATTTTAACAACTATTACAAGTTATCTGACGGATCCACATCGACCTTCACAAATCGAATGTAGCAATCGTGCGTCCGATTCTGTTAAAGGATTCTTTGATCCAAGAAGTGAGATAAGATTTCAAGATTTTAATAATGCATGCTGCTTGAAAAAAAACCAGAATGTTTAGGAGGCGCACATTATAGGTTAATTATTCAGTATAATTATGTTGCATTTTTTCCGAATGTTTTAGGACAATGAATTTTAATGAAGTAAAAAGATAAGATAAAACATCCCTAAAATCTTTAAAAAGCAATCAGCTTTTGTTAGCATGAGAAATTGTTGCACAACAAACATGGGCATGCCGGCAAAAGCTGGCTGATATGAAACTGACTTAAGATAAAAAAGTTGAACCTTGAAGTAGGCTACGGATTTTTTCTTAATTTCATGAATTTTTTGTTGCATACTTCAAGGTTTGATCAAGTTAAGAGAAAAAGGTTGAACCTTGAAGTAGGCTACGGAATTTTTCTTAATTTAATGAAATTTTTGTTGCATACTTCAAGGTTTGACCAAGTTAAGAGAAAAAAGTTGAACCTTGAAGTAGGCTACGGATTTTTTCTTAATTTCATGAAATTTGTGTTGCATACTTCAAGGTTTGACCAAGCTAAGAACAAAAATGGAACCTTGAAGTATGCAACAAAAATTTCATGAAATTAAGAAAAAATACGTAGCCTACTTCAAGGTTCAACTTTTTTCTCTTAACTTGGTCAAACCTTAAAGTATGCAACAAAAATTTCATGAAATTAAGAAAAAATCCGTAGCCTACTTCAAGGTTCAATTTTTAATCGTAACTTGGTTAAACCTTGAAGTATGCAACAAAAATTTCATGAAATTAAGAAAAATGTGTAGCCTACTTTAAGGTTCGACTTTTTTCTCTTAACTTGGTGAAACCTTGAAGTATGCAACAACAATTTCCTGTAATTTAAAAAAATTTCTAGCTTTCTTCAAGTTTTAATTTTTCAACTTGAAGTATGCTTCAAATTTATCGTTATTTCAGGAAATTTGTGTTGCATACTTCAAGGTTTAATTTTTTTGTCTTAAAAAGTAGCACAGTGACGTCCCCGCTAACTCGACACCCACTTCTGGAACTCTTATCATAATCTGCGCTTATGCGTTCCCTGCCAAAATCTGTGGGGGCTTACTTGGGCTAAGCGAAAGCATACATACATACGAAATTAGCAGAGTGGCGTCCCTGCGAACTCGACGCCAACTTCTGGAACACATATTTACAGAAGGGGTTTTTATGTATGTGTATGTTATGTATGCTTATCATAATCTGCGCTTATGCGTTCCCTGCCAAAATCTGGCTTACTTGGGCTAAGCGAAAGCATACTTCGGTATATTTCCGACGGTCAGGAGGAATTTTTTATCAATAAGCCCCCGGGCACACTGCCTCTTTTCTCTTTTTTGTTTGAACCTTTTTTTGTTAACAATCAAAGAAAATTAAGTCGTAAGAACTAACCAATCTTGTGGAGAATTTATTGATAAGTCGGATAAAATTATAGTGTTAGCGCTGAGACTCCTAACTAGCTAGTAATATTAAATATAATATCAAAATCGAGGAAAATTATTTAAGATTTACGGTATATTTACGGTATATTTTGAAAATGCAAGTGTATATCTCGGTATATTTCCGTGGGTCTGTCTGCGGTCCCACTGGCCATGAGTAATTTGTTCGTTTATTTTTAGTTTATGAATTTTTTTAGGCACGTTTTCTCTTAATTGCATCCCACCCGCTTTCGCAGCAGTAATAGTTGAAAATGCAGGTGAGGGATATATTTTAACGCATGACCAGCGCCAGGTGTGCGGGAAATGCGTGGAGTTCCACTTTTGTGGGTGTGCTCTGCAACTGAAATATGAAATTCCATATTTGGGCAGATGCGCTGCAATTTGCAGGCCGAAAATAAATGGAGTGTGAATGAAAACTCAAATGGTTTGAACTTTTGTAGGATCCAAATGAAGACACCGAGTGGAATGATGTGCTGCGGGCCAAGGGAATCATCGGACCCAAGCAGAAGGAGGCCGAAATCACAGAGGACCAGATCCAAGCCCTAATGGACGATGCGATACAGCGCCGCACAGACCTGCCACAGAGCGAGGGTCAGCGTGACAAGAAGATCGATGACATGTCGCTGGACGAGCTGGATGAGCTGGAAGACTCTGAGGACGAGGCTGTGCTGGAGCAGTACCGTCAGAAGCGTATTGCGGAGATGCGGGCCACGGCTGAGAAGGCCAGGTTTGGCAGCGTGCGCGAAATCTCGGGACAGGACTATGTCAGCGAAGTCACCAAGGCCGGCGAGGGTATTTGGGTGGTGCTGCACCTGTACGCGAACGGCCTTCCGCTCTGCGCTCTCCTCCACCACCATATGCAGCAGCTGGCGGTACGTTTCCCGCAGACAAAGTTCCTGCGCTCCGTTGCCACCACATGCATAGCGAACTTCCCCGAGAAAAACCTGCCCACGATATTTATCTACCACGAGGGCGCCATGCGGAAACAGTTCATTGGCCCCGTAGAGCTGCGCGGAGAAAAGCTGACGGTTGATGAGCTAGAGTTCATGCTCGGCCAAGTGGGCGCCGTCGCCACCGAAATAACCGAAGATCCCAGGCCCCAGATTAGGGACAAACTGCTTGCTGAATTGGAGGACAAGAGCTCGGACTTTTACTGAAGACCCTAAGCTCCCCACATCAATATCCCCATCCACATCCACATCCAAAACCTTTTAAGCTACGCCTCAGAGATGATCTGTAGCGAGATTCTTTTGTAGCATTTATGTTTCGTTGCCATCTTGTGCATTTTCTTCACCAATAAACCTTTACTTTTCTACACAAATCCGCATTCACTTATTACTCTGCTTGGAACTGCTGGCCGCCGCCGCCGCCGCCGCCGTCTTGGCCACGCTCTTCGGCTTGCCCCGGAATATGTTGGGATCGATGATGTTGTAGGGGTGCTCGCAGGCCGGATTGAGGACGCGGCCGCGCCTCAGCTCGTGCTCCTCGAGCAGATGGGGGGCGAGCAGCAGAAAGAGCTGCTCAGTCCATGAGGGAAGGCCGAAGCTGGAGAAGCACAGCTCCCAGTAGGGCAGTCCCAAGTGGGCGATGGACATCCGCAAATACTCGCTGAATGTTTCCGCCAGGAACTGCCAGCTCAGGGTGTTCAGCTCCAGCAAATAGAACTTGGGATTGTTCGAGCTTGTCGACTCATACAACATGCACACCTAAACGAAACGGAAACCAAGTTATTATATGGAATCTCAACACCCAAACTAGATCCTCATCACCTTCGCCATCTCGTTGATGTTGTTGATCTCAAATATCTTTGACTTGGCCGTGATGGTTGGCGTGGCGTTGCCCCACTTGTCTTTGCCCGTGCCACTGGAGGCACTCGGCACTGTCAGAGGCAGAAGATTGGCCGCCGAACTGGAGCCAGCTCCTGAGAGTTCCGGGCCCCCACTAGTCACAGCCGGCGGGAGAGCAACCCCACTGCTGGAGTGCGTCGTCTCGATATTCTCCCGCAAAAGTGTCACCTGCAGCAGGTGCGGGAAGTAGATGTGTCCCACGCGGCGAATGTCATTGGCTGCAGATGAGATGTGTAGGAGCAGGCCACACCAACACATGAGCTACTCACGCGCATACTGATAGCTCCAGTTGAGCACGAATCCGTCGGTAGACAGATAGAACTTCTTCATGTCTTCCGGCAGATAGACGCAGTGTCTCTGCTCCCAGTTGACCACCTGGCAAGCGGTCAGCGGCTGTCGTCGCTCCAGGCTCACATTGCAGACCCGCGGCACAGTTGCTGGCATATCATGAGGCAGGTTTCAGGATGTTAGAGCAGCTCTGGCTGACTTTGCGTTGGATACTCACAGAGCGTCTTGATGAGGCCCAGCGTTAGGTTTTCGTAGAATGCATCTTCCGGCGAGAGTTTCTTGTTCATCATTAAATAATTTTCGCCATACAAAATATTTTGTTCAGTTTAACGTGTCAGACGTGTGTTGCTCCCTACTACTTTTCCGATTCGATTGATTGATTTCGAGCAAACAAAACCCTGGCCTGGAAACGTGTTGTGTTGGAAACGGCAGGGCTGTCGCTTATAACAATCGGCAAACTGGCACAGGAACCGACTCACAACATTGAAAAGGATTTATTTACAAGTATTTAGTACAAGATCGGCAAAACATAAGCTGATAACAATAATATTCGAATGGGGAAATGGGGAGTTCCAGAGAGAAGATAATGTGAGAAAGTGTTTGGAGCTATTTCTCGGCATTGCTTGTGGTCTGCAGGTTGCGGTCTCATCTCTTGCTCGACACGTTTGCCTCGCTCTCGGCCTCCTCCTCGTGTCAGGAGACCTCCCAGACAGTGGACTCTACAGACCGTCGAGGTCGAGCTGCTACCTCCACATGGGCATCCAGTCCGTCGCTGAGGCGACTGAAGCGGCGCGCCCAGCTGCCGCGGTTGGTGCCCTGACTGCCGGCCACCGACGTCCGATTGCTGGCATCGCGAAACAGGCTCATGATGTCCTGGCTGTCGCCCTGGGCCCGCTTGATGCCGTGCTGGTACTTGGCCTCCTTGGCCAGCAGCTGTTCCCGCTGCATCTGCGTCTTCACCTCGGAGGGCACATCGGGGATGATGAACTGCATAATTCCGGTGATTACAAACACAACGTGCTGTTTGGTGGAAAATGAGAATTAGGCTACAGTCTCTGCACTGGAAGCACTTCAACTACTCACCTCAAAGACCACAACGAAGGCTAGACGAGCGGCAAACACGTGCCAGTAGTGGGGGCTCAGGCCGTATGGTTCGTAGTCCTTGGGGCCGTTCCTGCAAAACAGATTATGAATGGTTGGGAGCATCAGGATAAGTTGAGGATGTTGCTTGATTTACCTATAGCCACGATATTGACAAGTGTCTGGATCGCGCTCACTGACCGTGGCGCCCCACTCCTCCTTGTAGTCCGAGGTGTTGAATATGGAGAGCGAGTGCTCGATGTAGCCGGCCAGGGTGTGGGTCTCCGAATAGACAAACTTGTAGACCATCCGCGGTATAAAGTCGCTGGTGTAGGCAATCACAAAGGCATTCGAAACGACAGCCGTGTACGTGATGATTCGCAGGATGCCGTACCAGGCACCGATATCCTCGACACGCTCGGCCAGTGGGCGTCTGGCCTGAGTCACCATTTTGTATGCGTCCAGCCGGATCTCGGCCACATTGTTCAGGAGCGCAAAGAGCGGAGCCAGGGGAAAGGCAGCCACAAACAGAGTGACAAAGCCATATTGCAGAACTAATTATAAAGATTGCAGAATTACCCACATGGAAGGCACTTTCTAAGACTTTCTACTCACTCATTTCCAGGTACTCGTCGAAAAGAGCCAGGCGACCCGGATCCTGCATATGATAGTCCTGCTCCCAAGCCATGTGCAGATGCGATTCATCCTTGGTTGCCTGCAAAAGTGAAATACAAAGCAATATTGGAATGATCAAGCGGATCCAATTTCTTACCTGTTTGTGCTTCCGCTGACGCCACCAGTTCCAGAACTTGGGGAACAGATACTCCATAAAGTTGTTCCAGCACTGCTTGCCCACCATGATGATGGCCAGTTGGATGCAGAGCTCGGACAAGCATCCCGCCGGATCACAAATATCGTTCTTCAGGCGGAAAAACTGACTCCGACGCGCCTGATCATCACCGGGATAGTCGAAGAAGCGGCCCTTGAAGAAGGCAATGTAGATGAGCGACGAGTAGAAGTTCATGAACTCAAAAAAGAAGATCTTGAACGTATAGGAGTCCTCGTACTCGGTGTGGGTGCGCGGATTCTCCAAATTTGTTAACTTGATTGCCATCCGATGGTAGATCTGTGCACGAAAATAGAATTATATAAATATATATAGTAGAAAATATAATCAGTATCGACACCTACTCTTGTGAGTATCATTATGACCACCAGATTGATCAAAGCTGCCGTCACACTGGTGAATAGTTTGGCATGCTCCTTCACAAAGAATCCACCGCCGCCATAGATGACAGACACCAGTGTAATGCGGTACAGGATGGTGCCCAAGACAGCAGACAGCACCACAGAGATCTGAGCAAGAGTGGGAAAGAGTGGAATCATTTTGAAGTATATATTTGTAAGCTAAACACTCACCATAAAGAGCACTGCACTGCCGGTTACAACGAATCGAATGGCTCGGTTCCAGGAGGACATGTAGGGCTCCTTTTCGCGTGTGACCGGATTCATGCGGAATGTGGTTGCATTGGTCTCGAATTCGGGTCGGTTCTCCTCATCCATTTCCACGTTGTGCAGATCCCACTCCCACACCAGCACCGACTGCTTGCGTTTCCACAGCTCCAGAAATGTGGTGGCTGTTGGCAGAAGATGATCATTGACCAATTGTGGCACTGTGGAGGCGTCACTTACCCCAGAAGGACATGAATATGGCAAAGAACACAGTTGAGGGATTGTCAAATAGGTAAGTGAGACGCGAGAAGAGGCAGGAATCCGACAGACTCTGGTAGCTGCAGGCCTTGTCGCAGAGTGGACAGAGGGTGATGTTGCCGGGGCCAGCATCGTTGCAAATCTCCTTGCTGGGCGTGTTGTCCTCCGACTCCAGGGTGGCCAGGCCGTAGATGAAGCAAAGAGTGCCCACCACAGAGGGATACACCAGCATTTCGGTGTAGAAGCCCAGCCAGCAGAAGTACAGGGCAATCTTGTCCCCAAAGTATTTGCGCACCAGACACAGCGGCTGCTTCTTGTACCACTGCGAGGGATGGGCCCAGGTCTGGTAGAGCACTCGCCTGTCCAGGGAGATGCCGCTGGAGTGCGGCCGATCGTAGCGCCCCTCGTGCAGCGGAAAGCATCCCAGGTAGGTGCCATCGTTCATCAGCCGCCGGATCCCACTGCGATCGGTTTCGTCGTAGGGCGTGCGTATCAGCACCTGCATAACCATCAGTGATCGCTGGGCACTGGTAAAGGCTGTGGCACGATCCTTGACGATGAATCTGCATGGTAGGCATCTGCGTAAGTTTCTTGAATTCCCCAAAGAAAACTCCACAACTTACTGCTCCTCCGGATTGCCATTAGCTGTGGCTGTCTTAAAAGTTGTCTCTCCCTCCAGCAAGCTCTGATCGAGTTGAATCTTTTTGGTGAGGCGCTGCCACACCTCCCGCCAGTACTGCACATTCCTTAGCACCACATTTTCCTCATCCTGCAAAAGAAAAGGAGCATCAGCATGGATGCTGATTGCGGCTAATGCGAATACGTACCCAAGATGGCTTCACGGATATTGTTATGAAGCGTTTGACAGGCAACTTCAGGTTCATGACCTCAGCGAGTCTGGTTTCCAGTCGCCAAGGCAGATGGATTTTGAGGAAAAAGGTTTTCTCGTTGAACGACTGCGACTTGTCCTCCAGCTCCACCTCGAGGCCCTCCTTGACCAGGTTTTCCATGAAGCTGCGCCTCAGGTCGCGCCGACGTGCCTCCGCCTCCGTCATGACGCCCAGATCCTCTTCCTCCCAAGCCAGCACCATGTCAACCTTGCGCCTGCCGTCGCGAAACATGAGAGACTCGGGATCCAGCCCCTCCCGATCCTGCTTGCTGATGCGTCGCCGCTCGTCCCCCGAGTCCCCCGTAATGCTGTTGCTCTTGCTCGCCTTCCGGCTGCCGTAGTAGCTGCCGCTGATGCTGCTCGCCGTGTCCGAGGCTTTCCGCTCCGTGGGCATCAGCTGCCGGTAGCCGAACTGGTCGGCCAACACGTTGGAGTGCGAGGACTCAATGACCTCGTACGACTGATTCACCCGATCCTCCGAGCTCAATCTGTGGCCGCCCAGAGTGGGGCTCAGGTTAAGGGCCAGTGTGCGGCGCATGGCAGTGCCCGGAATATCCTCCTCATGACTGCCGACAATCTTGGGACCGAAGGCCTGCGTGGGACTGGGCTCCGCCGAATCACCCTCCAGATGGGTGGGCAGCGGCATGGCAATTGAGTTTGACTTTTGGTACAAGGAGCCGTTGCTGGCTCGCACCACCGAGGAGTTGAGCCACTTTTCCGTGTAGGCCGCAGAGTTGGCCCGATGGGCTATCGCTTCCTTGCCTTTGGACCTCGGCAGGATCGGTGTGGCAGGCTTGGCCACCACCGCAGCGGGAGTGCTCTCCGGCTGGCTCGTGTTCGTCAGATAGTTGTAGATGTTCTCGGCTGGAATTCGCTCTGTTTCGCTCTGTATTCGCATTTGTGCTTCGGGCTCCTGTGGGAGATGACAGCTGTAATGGATGGACTACACAGTCACTCAAGATATCGTTGCACTCACCCCATAGCCGATCAGTCGGCCAGCCACAATGCCACTGTCCTGGCTGAGCCGTCGCGGTCTCAGTTTGGTCTGGCTGTGGCGGTACATGCGCTCGCTCTTGGACGGACTGGACATCACCTCACGCCGTGCGGTCGTCTCTGGTCGTGGACTGCGCAGCGTTGGCACCGAAAGGAATCCTGCGTGGGGCAACAATTATAGTACTCTGTTGGCTCTGTTCAATGGGATTCACTCACGGGGAAACTGAAAGATCAACTGCTCGCTCTGTTGATCGCACTCCTGGGCAGTACTGATGATGAGATCCTCTTTTGAGCTGGCCTCCGTTATTGGAGCGGTGCTCTCGTCATCCACGCTGTCGATGCGTATCTGGAATATGTGTGACTTGTCGCCAGATCGCTCTCCGGGACTGCTCATTGTGGGACGCTGCTGGTTGGTTGGCAATTGGCTATTCCACTCCCTCGTTTTGGGCTCTGGTTGGGACATGTACACGGTGAAGCCGGAAGGATAATGTATAGTGTCTAATTTGGAGCACAGCTGCTCCAGTACCCATGATAAACTATTTAAGGTTTGCTTCGGTTTGCTGACACTCGAAACGGAACGGAGCGGAACGGAACGGAAAGGACAAGAAGTATTCAAAAGTTCGACCGAGATGGGGGACAATGCATAAGCTTGTGTCCTGCGACCTCCACGCGAGTGCTGCGATGTTAAAAATTCATCGATGTTTGCACTACGGCCCTCGAGTGGCTATTCATATTCGTATTTGTAACTTCATTTGCCAGCAACGACCCAATCAGAGGCGTGCTCGCACTCAAACTCACGCACACGCCAACACACGCTCGACATTGACCCACGAATTCGGGTCGGGCTTTGTATATTTGTATTTGTCCAACTTGATGAGGGTTTACGGACCCATACAGAGTGCTCGGACATTAGTCAATGCACTGTGGGAGCAGCTCCACTTGACTCCCAAAGGTTAGTCAAACAAACTTGTTGCTAGCGTACTGTCACCTTACCCTACCCACTCCCATGCGCTGGAATGACAAGTGCTCTAGATAATTGCCCCAGATTATTGCATGTATGTAAAGGACTGTGGGAGTGTTCTACAAGTTTTACTTTGCCCCAAAACATATGTATCTTGGGACAAATAAATCCGAACTCGTACCTGTAGTAATTCTAATGGGTGTGCGACGGTCTCGAAATGTCAGCGCTGGTTGGCAGTTGTGCAAAGTCCCATGCCATTGAAGTAATCACAACAATTGAAGGATTATTGATCGCTCCAGTCAGTTCCGAGTAGCACTCGAAGGAACAATCGATTATTGATTTGCAGTCCTGCACTCGGATGCAGCTCTTGGTTTCACAATCTGCGAATGATCAGTCGCGTTGCGCCTACAGAACTGGGGCACTATTGATTTTGTGTTTCCATAATCATTATCTTTGAATCAATTTTCATGCCCTCGCATGTCCATCCGTTGTAGTCCCCCGCACTTGACTCAACACTTTTCGACCTGCATATATGTACATATGGGTCTTGTCCGACTATTCCGACTATTCCGACTATTCCGATGTGCCTGGCTCTGGCTCTCGCGCACGAATGACCACAGCAATCCAACATTGTCTCTGTCTCTGTCCCTGTCCCTGGTGTCAATGGTCGTTGACGAGCTGCACAGGATATCGGTACTCCTGGATAGATAATCACGGTTCTGGCGCTCTCTCGTTGAATAGTAAAACGAGCGTACGGGGGGAGGGACTGGCACCACCGCCCACACGAATATCCTATTAATATTGGACCTCCTGTTGGTTATTCGTGATAAGTTTCTAATTTTAAATCAGGTCTAGTAACGCTTCTCCTCCACTAACTTTGGACTACTTTCTGTGAATGACGTCAGTTTCCTTGGGGCGGGTTATGGACTGACTCTTCCATCTGTTTGTGATGGAATACTCGTAAGACCTGGCTGGGAATTCAATTCGTGACCACAGAAATAGCCCTCCAGCAGAGCTCTCTTATGCAGCAGTTACTATTACACTATTATTCTCGGACGTGGAATCTATTTTGATTGAATGTACGTCATTAATAGCGCCATTTCGAGTGCTGGGTGCGTGCCGCTCGGTTGTCCTGTAATAGTGCTTTGATTGGCACCACCTATAGATACGACTACTCGTATGCAAATGGCACCTATTAATATTGATATGCGGCCATGTACACATCAGTATTCATCATCCCCGTACGAGTTCAATCGGAACTTTTGATTGAATGGAAACATTTTTGAAGGCCTCACTGCTCAGGGGTACAGCTGGGGAGAAGGGCATTCCTGGGACTTTCCTTTGACCCCTCAAATACAAACAGCTTATGCTCCTTTTAAGAGTAAATATTTTTGTAGCCTCCACCGTAAAATGAATTAAATACACTTGAAATGATTTACATGCAGGTTCTCTGCACCTAGTTCGTATCGGTCACAATTACCGTGTCGTCTCCATCGATCTTGCATTGCTGCAGGACATCCAGCTCGCAGCTGCTCGTCGCCTTGTTAAAGTACAGACCCTGTCCGCAGTTACCTTCGATGGTCTGGCCGTGCAGGCACACGAAGAAGCCGCGACAATTGTTGGCATCTCGGGCCAACTGGCCGTGCAGGCCGTTGCAGACTCCAACCCGCTCGCCGTTCTCCATGAGGCAGGTGCCGTCGCTCTGGCGACAGATTCTCAGCAGGCTGTCGAAGCTCTCCCCGTTGCGGCAGCGCTGCGACACGGGCACATCATCCTCGCAGCTGGTGTAGCGCCGGCAGTCGCCCTGCTCCGCCACGGAGGTGCCATTGCCAATGACGCTGCACAGGCTGTCAAAGGTGGTGGGTGCATCGCTGCATTGCTTTTCCAGTGTGCTCTGCGCACGCAGAGTGGAGTTTCCGGGCAGCTCTGTCTGCGAGTCGACGTCGCTGGGCAGCTCCAGGGCTTGGCACTGCTGGAGCGTGGCGTTGAAGAAGGATCCGGAGTAGCAGCACTCGTGACGCAGCTTCCCAGACACGCAGATGTAGAAGTTATTGCAGTTGGCCGGATCTGGCAGAATGTAGCCGTGTTTGCCCTCGCAAACCATCGGATCGGGCGGCACGTGCTGATTGTTTGTCTCCTCGCCATCGTCCCCATTCTCCACGAACGGACAGGAGCCATCGTCCTGCACGCACAGCAGCTGCTCCGGATCGAAGAAGCTGCCCGCTGCACACCTCTGAGCCACGGCTATGCCACCCGCACAGATGAAGTACCGCGTGCAGTCGCTGCGATTTGCCAGGTAGCTTCCCTCCTGTAGGGTACCGCAGCTGTAGACGGCGCTGCTGTTTCCATCCAGCTGTCCGTTCTGGCACGTCTCCAGCGCCAGCGACTCTGGCTCGCAGGCTCCCAGCACGGGATTGTACTGCTGCTGGGCGGGGCACTCCACGGGAATCGCCAGGCCACGCACGCACGCGTAGTACAGGTTGCAGTAGAGCTCGTGGGGCAAGCGCACTCCGTGCTGCCCCGCACACACCCTCCCATTGGACTCCTCCTGCCCAGGGTCCGACTCCTTCTGGCACTGGCCGTGGTCGGCGCGGCACAGCGAGAGCAGGCTGTGGAAGTACTGTCCCTGTTCGCACTGGTGGAGTTGCGTGCCGTTCTGGCTGGAGCAGCTGTAGTACGCGCGACAGTCCTCGGGATGAGCCACTAGTCTGCCATCATCCACGCCCGAGCAGACGGCCAGCTGGCAGGTGCCATCGTTGGGTCTGCAGTATCCCTGGGCGGCGTCAAAGAAGCTTCCAGAGGCACACCTCTGGAGTACAGCTGGCTGCTGCTGCAGGCACAGGTAGAACCGTGTGCAATCCTGGACATCAGGCACGCTCAGGCCATCCGATTGGCCCACACAGCTGTTCTCCGCAGCCGACATGGTCAGAGTTTGAGTTTGCTCCCGGCACTCGGCTTGGGCCTGACACTTGTTCAGTTTCGGGTTGAATTGCTGGCCACGCAGGCAGCTGCCCAGCAGCCACTCCTCTTCTTCGCAGTAGTGGAAGAATGCCGAACAGTGGCCACCGTCAGCTGAGATCAGTGGCAGCGGCCGCAACTCCCCATTGTGGCAGACGCGGCGCATGCCGTTGGCCTGGCACCTGCCATCGCTGGGCACGCAGCCGAGCAGCGGCTCGAACTGTTGTCCCGCGAGGCACTGCATTCGCACCCACTGGCTGTCCGAGCACTGGTCATAGATGCTGCAGCTGCCGATCAGGCTGCGTTTCTGGCCGCTAACACAGGAAGTCGTGGCATGCTGCGGACACTGCTGGCCATCGTTGGGCACACAGTAGTTGCGCTCGCGGCTGAAGTACATGCCCAGTGGACACTGTTGCCGCCACCACACGTTGTCCAGGCACATGAGGAAGCTGTCACAGCCTGCCGCGGACGGACGCACAGCCAGATGCTGGCAATCCTCTGGCGGACTTTGAATAAATGTCGCATTGCAGATGTTCCTAGCGTTTTCCTTGGTGGCAAGCGGCAGTGGCAGGCAGGAGCCCATCAGGGAGGAGTAGTAGTGCTGCTTGGGGCAGTTACGGAGGCGCCACTTGCTGCCAGAGCAACGGAAGTACTGGAGGCAGCTGCCATTTCTGGTGGACATCGTTTGGGCCTCGCTGCTGTTGGTGCAGGCTGGCAGATAGGTGACCCGCGCATAGGCGCAGACCATGTCGTCCCTCGGCTCCAGGCAGCGCCGCTGTTCCGGGTTGTAGTAGCGCTGATCGGTGCAGGTGCGTCGTCGCCAGTGCCCCTCCACGCAGACCTCGTACTGGGAGCAGTTCGCTGGCACTGAGCGCAGTTCATCCACCAAGCAGGCAAGCTGAAAGACAACAGACAATAATAGAGGTTAATAAGTTACTGATCAATCGATAAAGCATCGATTAATGGATGAAACATTATGCCTCTTTGTAGATTCTTTCTTAAACTTTGAGACTAAAGCATAGGAATAAGATCCTCATGTTCCATTCTGAATAAAAGGCCGAAAGTATAATTCATCTAGTTTGAATTTATTGTAGCTCATGGTTATTTTTATGGTACAGGTTATAGCAGTAAAGAAGTGGAACAAGCGGAACTTTCACATTAAACATAACTCGTAAATAAAATGGGATTATATGCACTTAAAAATCACAAGATAGGGGACACGCGCGGATAAGGTTTATGCAAGTTTCTGGAAGAATCTCTTAAGGAATGATAGGGACCTTACTTTTGCCTGCGCCTCCAGCGAGCGCTTCTGAATGACATGCCCGGCGCACACTCCCATCTCGGAGTCGAACACCTCGCCCGTGGGGCAGGAATGGAACGTGACACTGACTCCGTCCGAGGCGTCGCACGAGCAGAATCCGGACCTTGTGTTGTGTGCCGGGAAGGGCTCATAGCGAGCCCGCTTCTGGCACTCCAGCAAGTTGCAGGCAATGTTGCCGATGAAACCTTTCAGTGTGCACAGGCCCAGGGCAGCGTCAAAGACGTGTCCCTCGTCGCAGCGGTGGTAGACGGCGACTCCGTTGCAGCTACAGAATCCCTCGCTGGTGTTCCTAGCCGCGAAAGGCTCAAACTGGGCACGACGCCGGCACTGGCTGGGATCGCATGCCTCAGCCGTGCAGGCGGCCAGGGCCTCGTTGTAGAGCTCTCCGTTCTCACAGCTGTGGTAGGCGGTGACGCCGAATTCCTCACAAGTGCAGAAGCCACTGGTCGTGTTTCTGGCCGAAAACCTCGAGAAGATATCCCGCTTGATGCATTGCGTCGTGTCACAAGCCGTACTGGCGACAATTTTGGCCGATGTACTCAGGCAGGCGCCCATATCGCTGTCGTACGCGAGGCCCGTTTCGCATGGCACAAAGACCTGACTTCCGGACATGCACAAGCAGAATCCTGCGGTCGTATTCGAAGCCTTAAAGGTGGATAAGTCATCCATTGTGGCGCAAGTGCCTGGCGCGCACACTGAGCAGGGAGCCTGTGTAGAGTTGAGATTTAGTTGTGTGGATTTCCATTGAGCTCATATTAAATGTGAGTCTTACCGAGGGTATGACGCACATCTGTTCTGACGCATCGAACACCATTCCCTCGCTGCACGTATCGTAGACCACTTCGCCATTATCGCAATAGCAGAAACCGGCGGTGTCGTCTTCCGCTTTGGGGGGGAATGGTTCAAAATCAGGCATATTCACGGTGCACTTGGATGCATCGCAGGTGCAGCTGGCATCCACCTACAGGGGAAGAAGTGGCAAAAAATTGCACAATTAAATAACTCCAAGTAACTGATAGATTTGTGATACAGCACCTTGGGAACCTGGCATAGCTTCAGAATCCAGTCAACAACCTCGCCCTCGGGGCACTCATTGTAGATTGGGAATCCGTCTTCGCAATAGCAGAATCCTTGTAGGTCGCCCTCCGGCTTGAATGGATCGTAAGGCGGCAGCAAGTCACATTGGTTGACATCACACTGCTTAGTGGCACAGGGATCCTGTTAATGGATAATGGATGTGAGGAGGAGGCAAATTAGATGCAGAAATTAGCAGATTTCTACCTCTGGCTCTGTGCAGATGGCCAGCGTCGTGTCGTAAACCGTGTTGTTCAGACAGGATTCGTAGATGGGACAGGTGTCCCTGCAGTAGCAGAATCCAGACAGATCCGGGGCGGGGAATGTTTCGTAGTCTGCCAGTTTGTCGCATTGCGTCGCATCACAAGCGTTAGTTGTGCAGGTTATCTGCAGAGAGAGGATACACCTTTGGGTGAGCAAATGAGTAGGTTGAGGCATTCCTCCAGTTTACTTACCTCGGGGGCCAAACACGCTTTGTCCTCCAGGTTGTAGACTGTGTTGGCTGGGCAGCTGTCATACGATGGCAGCTTGTCCACGCATATACAGAATCCAGCATCGGTATTCAGGGCCGGAATCGTGTCAAAGTCTGACTTGCACGAGCAACCATTGGGATCGCATCTGGGCTGTTATGGAAATGAGATTAATGTGAGAACAATGTTTGGGAGTTGTGTTCTTACGTCAGGCTGTGGGATGAGGGCACACACAAGATCCTCACTGTTGAATGTGTAGCCAATGGGGCAGGGCACCGACACGGGCTGTTGAACGCGGCAAAGACAGAAGCTGTTCGGATCCTGGTAATCAGGCGAAACCCAGTACTCTGGATTGCCGACACATGCCGCAGGGTCGCACTGTCCAGTCTGAAAAGCGGCATAATCAAATGTTATTCGCCTAAAGTTAGTTTTTTATATGAACAACTTTTTACTTACAAATTGGCACATGCCATCGACGGCGTCGTAGACGTAGCCTTCGCCGCAGGACTGGATGTAGCCAGCACCGCCATTGCACAGGCAGAAGCTTGAGTTGTCGCAGTTCAGAGTTGGGTAAGTCAGATCCTCAGCAGCACCCTTGCAGGTGGCCTGATCGCAGTCCGCCTGGAGGCACACATGAGGAGGTTAAGGCTGAACTCACTTGGATTTCGGATGCATTCACTTACACTGGGTACGGCCTGGCATATGCCGAAGGTGGCGTCAAAGGCGGTGTTGGCCGGGCAGGACACGATGGTGGCCTCCTTGTTGAGGCACAGATAGAACCTGCTGGTGTCCCCAGCCACTGGGTAGGTGGTAGCATCGGCAGCCGTGGCACACAGCTTTGCGTTGCATACCGTTGCGGTGGAGCACAGTCCTGTGGCATTGTTGAATGCCTCGCCCTCCGCACAGTCCACTACCTGGGCCACGCCGTCGGTGCAGAGGTAGTACTTGGTGCAGATTGGATGGGGCACGGCTCCAGAGGCGCAGCTGCAGGGATTGATGCACTGAGCGGTGACATCGATCTCGCACACCTCTCCGTTGTACCACTCGCCAGCGGCGCAAGAGTGCTGGGTGGCCAGGCCGTTGTAGCAGCTGACGTAGCTGGTGCAGTCATCGGGAGTGGGTAGCTGGTAGCCGTTGGGCTTGTTGGAGCACACCCAGCACGTGGCGGCGGTGTCGGGCACGCAGACACCGTTCTGCAGCACATTTCCCACGCCGCAGCTGCCCTCGACCATCTCACCATTCTCGCAGAGCAGATACTTGCCACAGTCGGTGGGATGGCACACAATGGAGCCTTGGGCAATGCCTCCAGCACAGCTGCCATCCGACTCAGCACTGCGCCTGCCGCGGCGGCTGACATTGAGGCTGGTGTTGCCGATATCGGGTCGCATGAAGTTGAAGAGTAACTTGTTTTCGGGACAGTAACCCTCCTCGTCCTGTCTGCAGATGCCCAAGACCGGGTCGAAGTAGTAATCTTTGCTGCACACCTCCTCCTGCCACTTGCCGTTTATGCATGTCTGGTAGCTATAGCAGTTCTTGCCGCTTGCAGCCGGATCGCTCGTGTTGCACTCGTCAGTGGATGAGTCCACACAGACGTTGTCCGAGTCTACCCTGCACGCGGATAATGCGGTGTCGAAGAAGCTGCCACTGCTGCAGCTCGCTGACAGCCAGACTCCGTTCTTGCACTGGTAGTACTTGGCGCAGTTCTGCACATCCACCTGCAGCTCACCGTCCGTGCACTCGGCCTCAGAGCTATCGGGACACTCATTATCAGAGTCAACCTGGCACACGTTCAACTTGCTGTTGAAGAAGTTTCCCTTTCCGCAATCGCCAGAGATCAGGACGCCGTTCACGCAGACGTCGTACAATCGGCAATTCTGTGCGTTGGCCACGAGATCTCCGTTCTTCACATTACTGCCGCAATCGCAGTCGGCGGTGGGCTCGGTTACTGTCGTCACCTCATCGCAAGGTTCGGTTGTAGTCGTCACCTCGTCGCAAGGTTCAGTTGTGGTCGTCACATCATCGCAGGGCTCGGTTGTGGTTGTGACATCATCGCCAGGCTCCACAGTGGTGGTGTCGTCGCATGTGCCGGGCTGACAGTTCCAGCCTTCGGGATTGAAGATGCTGCCGACCGGGCAGTACTGGGTGGTGGCAGTCTCGCCGGAGCAGATGTAAAACACGGAGCAGTTGGTCTTGTCAGCGACGCCAGAGCCATCTGCCATGCCAACGCAGAAGTTCTGCCAGCAAACTGAGTCTGTGTCGGGGGTGCAGGCCCTGAGGCTGTCATCGAAGTACGATTTCTGTGGACACCTCTCCAGCGTGGCCACACCAGCTGAGCACGAGTAGTAGTTGGCACAGTTATCGTCGCTGGTGGGAAGTAGGCCATCGGCCTCTCCCACGCACAGGTTCTGCCAGCAAGTCTTGTTGGTGTCCGGAAGGCACACTGCCAGAGTGTTGTTGAAGACGCTGCCTGCGTCGCACTTCTGGGCGTATGCCTGTTGCTCGTCGCAGATGTAGAACTCACCGCAGTATCCGCTTTTTGGCAAAAATGCTCCGTTCACCTCATCGGTGCACAGATTGGTTGACTATGGAGTGGAGCGTTAGTTATCCAGGCACACGGCTGTCAGAATCAACAGGAAAACTCACCAGGGACAGGGGAGCGGCAAGGCTCAGCTTGCAGAGTCCGCGCCCGGCGGTGGCACACTTGCCGTTCTTGGGGTTGTATTCTTTACCGGCTGGACAGGTCACAGCCCGGGCAATGCCCTTGCCCGAGCAGCGGTAGTAGCTGGAGCAGCTCGTGGGGTTTGGCCAGTGGGGCGACAGGCCGCGTAATTTGCGATAGACGCACTCAGGATCGGCGGCTCCGACAAGGACCGCCACTGTAGTGAGGGTCACCACAGCTAGCAGAGCAACTGCGAACGACAAACAAAAATAAATCCAAGTTCCAAAGGTCCTGATTCTGCTCACCTCTCATATTTGTTCGATAGTATTCCACTCGTGATGCTTTATCAATAATGAATGTTGAACTCTGCCCAATTGCCAAAATTTGGAAACCTTTATATACATTAGAGACTCAATAGCGATCTTCATTTGCCTTCGCTGGCAGCCCTTATCTCATTCAATTATGTTGATCGTGTCGAACATGCGCCCATCGTGTCAGTTTAATTGAGGTGTGAAGTCTTTCGTGGGTTCCTGGAACGCAACTTCGGCCACTCCCGATCGATGCTCGGAATCTGCAAACTTATGAATGTCAGGAACAACTGCTCTCGTTTCAAGATCGCTCAGGCCCAAGGCCACATTGAAAACCACATACAAAATGCATGCAATGAAGGCTTCTGGAGGGAGCTGCTATTCATAATACTTTATTGGCAAACCGTATCGCAGGTCAGGGCAATCGAGTTCCAGTAGAGATCGGCTGGACACGTATGTATGTGCCCCACATTCCCCTCGCACTGTATGTACTTATGGCAATCGTAGGGATTTGGTAAGTAATGCACTCCCGGATGTGCCTGGCACGCAGCGTCGGAATCTATTGCGGGTGGAGGGGTTGTTGTCTGAGTTGTATCAGCTGGTACACCCGATGCATCCGTTGGATCCGATGGTGCAGCAGAAGTTTCTCTGGATGGATCTGGGGCTGCATTCGTAGTCTCTCCCGGTGGATCCGATGGTGCATCCGTGGGTTTCCCTGTTGGATTTGAGGGTGCATCTGTGGGCATATCCGTTGCATCGGAGGGAGGACCAGTAGTCTCTCCCGGTGGATCCGATGGTGCATCCGAGGGCTTCCCCGTTGGATCCGATGGTGCATCTGTGGGTTCAATCGTTGGATCCGAGGGTGAGCCAGTAGTTTCCCCCGTTGGATCTGATGGGGCATCCGTGGGCTTGCTCGTTGGATCCGGTGTTGAACCAGTAGTCTCTCCCGTTGGATCCGATGGTGCATTAGTGATTTCCCCCGATGAGTCAGAGGACTCGTCACTTGGCTCATCGTCGGTGGTTTTTGGCGTCGAAGTGGTTGTCGTAGTGGGCCGAATGCATCTTCTGGCGTTGAGGGATGTCGCCAGGAGCATGAGCTGCACGGACATAAATATAAAGGCCACTGCCACAAGCAATGGATGTTGTTGTTAGTACTACTCAGGATATTCTTTCATGCTCGTACTTACGTTTCATTTCATTCAGCAGTCGAATTGATTCACTATTATCCCAAACTAATGATCAGTTCGCCATTTTCCTTCTATTTATACCGTTTCCAAGTACTGCATACCATAGCTGCACTTATCATCTGCATCTAATTAGCGTACACAAGCCATCGATGTGTTCTTCTTATCTTGACCGAACATGATTCATGATGATTGTCTTATGATAGCGGTGGGAGAGTAAATACAACTTATGTTTGTAATTAGTTCAATTTGATAAACAAATCAATGGCAATTTATGGCAGATATTTAACAGACAATATTTTCCAAGAATTTCTGTTGAATTTCATTATATTTCAAGTGCAATTGATGCCAAATCGGCTAGTCAAGGTCGCAAACAGTTTTCGATTGATTAGATAATAATAAGAAAATAGCTGCAGTCTGAATTATATAAAGGGGGTTTTATCAACTGTCTTTGGCTGTAATTATTGGTGGAAATACTAATATATATGTAAAAAATATGATCTTAGGTATCTGGCTCTTGATTTCTTTTGGTATCGCACCCTCTTTAATGTCAGATAAGATAAGAGCGGAGTTGTAAAAGAGGAAGGGTACGCTTCCGTTTGCTTACGTTTTTTTTTGTTTCGCATATCGAAATATATGTATTGCATATTTTTGGGACAATTTTTAAATCACTGCATTCAGAATTCTGTGAACAAAATGGACCAAACCATAACCATTAGATTTGTGCAGCTCTTGGTGTCATCATTTGCATCAATGCATCACTGGCATTAATATTAAATAATTCTAAATAATTTCAAAACACAATTCAGATGAGCATGACTCACTTCCGAAGAGCACAGTCGGATGTGGCGAGTGTATACACCTTTTAAGTATTGCATTGCAACCCACTTTTTCAATTGAAATAAAGTTTATTTTTTCCCAGAACACTTATAGTTTTCCATTTATAATCAATTGCATATAAGTACGTTTGTATATGTACCTCTACGGCAGATACCTACCCGGTAGTCAGGAAGCATTATGGGTTCTAGAAAGAGAATGTAACATCTGAATATTAATACTTATAGATTCAACAGCATCAGCATCACTTTCTCATATGCTTCTGGGTTTTGAGGAGTTACCTTTTCAGAGCCATGTGGGTATGCCTTAGCCAAGTCTCCTCTGAATCGGTGCAGCTTGTAAATTTCTAAATCGGAAATCTACTCGTAAATTGCATTGGTCAATAAGACTGATAGGCAATAAAATATTTACTTTCCGCTGGCTTCCTATACAAGTGTAATCAAAATTGATTAGACATGAACCACGCAATGGGAAGTACTGAAGGTACTCTCTGCTATAAAAGCAGAGAGCCTCAAGAATAATCAGAGCATTACTGCAACGTCGACATTCACAAATATGAGAGGTAGGAGCATAACTTTTGGCGCTGTTTCACACATAACTCGCAAGTTCCTTTTATGCTTTCAGGCCTGTGCACTGTGGTTACATTTGCATTCCTTGTGGGTTATGCGGTTTCATTGCCTTTTGACGATGAGTACATAGCGTCCGCCGAATCGACAACACTGGATCCCAGCACTGAAACGGAGCCCCAAGATATCGAAACTACACTGCCGCCGCCCGTGCTGTGCGAAGAGGGAGAGGAATTTCTAGCAGCGCCCAATTGTCAGCAGTTCTACCAATGCCTGTATGGGGAGGGAGTGTTAAAACTCTGTCCTCCGGACCTCTATTGGGACCCGGCACTTGACGTTTGCGGCTGGGACTCAAAGTACTGTGAGAATGTGGATGAGCCCACTGGCAAGGAGTCGGACTGTTCATCTGGCCTGCCGTTCCTTCCCTATGAGCTAGACTGCAGCAAGTACATTCAGTGTGTCTACAATACCGGGATTAAGCAGAACTGTCCAATGGGGCTTTTCTGGAACCAGCCACTCCAGAGATGCGACTACACGTGTGACTCCCGTTTCGCGTACTCCGAAGACGATCAGGAGCAATGAACGAATATGTTGTAACCAACGAAAATGCGTTTCCAATAAATGTAATAATACAAAATACATTTAAGCAATTACATTTTTGTAGCCGACACCTCAAGAGGTTTCCCCTTATAGATAACGGCTTTTGCACAAACAGATCTGATAAGAAGTGCAACGAGCTACCTAAAGAGCTACTTATAAGTGTCAATGCACAAAGCCCGAATATCACTTCTCTGAATGCTTTTCTCTAACTAATACGCGAATTCGCTGCGCTCTCCATCTTTCTTAAGCACAAAGATGTCTTTCATAGGTTCTTCCCGAGATGTATTAAAATTTGTAATATCACTGGTAATACTCAGTCAAATTCTCCTGCACGGAGTAGACAGTGCCTCTGTGGATTCTCAATACATAAAAAGTGATGAAGTGCAATTAAATACTATTGAATATGAATCACAGTTTGGCAGAGATAATAAATTTCTGCATAAACGACCAACTAAACCAACACCACCTCAACCCAACGTGACAAAACCTGTGGAAAACTCGACATATGTGCCTGAATCGAGTACTACAGCAAATGATTTGACTTCTGCACCCGAACAGAGCACCACAATAGAGAGCGATACTACATCCACTCCTGAAGATAGCAGCACAGCTGAGGATTCGACCTCTGCACCTGAAGACAGCACCACAGCTGAGGATTCCACTTCCGCACCTGGAAAGAGCACCACAGCTGAGGATACCACTTCTGCACCTGAACAGAGCACCACAGTAGAGGACGAAACAACATCCGCTCCTGAAGAGAGTACTACTGCTGAGGATTCGACTTCTGCGCCTGAAGAGAGCACCACAGCTGAGGATTCGACTCCTGCACCTGAAGAGAGCACCACAGCTGAGGATTCGACATCTGCGCCTGAAGAGAGCACCACAGCTGAGGATTCGACTTCTGCACCTGAAGATAGCACCACAGCTGAGGATTCGACTCCTGCACCTGAAGAGAGCACCACAGCTGAGGAAGAAACAACATCCGATCCTGAAGAGAGTACTACTGCTGAGGATTCGACTTCTGCGCCTGAAGAGAGCACCACTGCTGAGGATTCCACTTCTGCACCTGAACAGAGCACCACAGTAGAGGACGAAACAACATCCGCTCCTGAAGAGAGTACTACTGTTGAGGATTCGACTTCTGCATCTGAAGATAGCACCACAGCTGAGGATTCCACTTCCGCACCTGAAGATAGCACCACAGCTGAGGATTCGACTCCTGCACCTGAAGAGAGCACCACAGCTGAGGAAGAAACAACATCCGATCCTGAAGAGAGTACTACTGCTGAGGATTCGACTTCTGCGCCTGAAGAGAGCACCACTGCTGAGGATTCCACTTCTGCACCTAAACAGAGCACCACAGTAGAGGACGAAACAACATCCGATCCTGAAGAGAGTACTACTGCTGAGGATTCGACGTCTGCGCCTGAAGAGAGCACCACTGCTGAGGATTCCACTTCTGCACCTGAAGATAGCACCACTGCTGAGGATTCCACTTCTGCACCTGAAGATAGCACCACAGCTGAGGATTCGACTCCTGCACCCGAAGAGAGCACCACAGCTGAGGAAGAAACAACATCCGATCCTGAAGAGAGTACTACTGCTGAGGATTCGACATCTACGCCCGAAGATAGCACAACAGCTGAGGATTCGACTTCTGCACCTGAAGATAGCACCACAGCTGAGGATTCCACTTCTGCACCTGAACAGAGCACCACAGTAGAGGACGAAACAACATCCGCTCCTGAAGAGAGTACTACTGCTGAGGATTCGACTTCTGCGCCTGAAGAGAGCACCACTGCTGAGGATTCCACTTCTGCACCTGAACAGAGCACCACAGCTGAGGACGAAACAACATCCGATCCTGAAGAGAGTACTACTGCTGAGAATTCGACATCTGCGCCTGAAGATAGCACCACAGCTGAGGATTCGACTCCTGCACCTGAAGAGAGCACCACAGTAGAGGACGAAACAACATCCGATCCTGAAGAGAGTACTACTGCTGAGGATTCGACTTCTGCGCCTGAAGAGAGCACCACTGCTGAGGATTCGACTTCTGCACCTGAAGATAGCACCACAGCTGAGGATTCGACTCCTGTACCTGAAGAGAGCACCACAGCTGAGGAAGAAACAACATCCGATCCTGAAGAGAGTACTACTGCTGAGGATTCGACTTCTGCGCCTGAGGATAGCACCACTGCTGAGGATTCCACTTCTGCACCTGAAGATAGCACCACAGCTGAGGATTCAACTCCTGCACCTGAAGAGAGCACCACAGCTGAGGAAGAAACAACATCCGATCCTGAAGAGAGTACTACTGCTGAGGATTCGACTTCTGCGCCTGAGGATAGCACCACTGCTGAGGATACGACTTCTGCGCCAGAACAGAGCACCACAGTAGAGGACGAAACAACATCCGCTCCTGAAGAGAGTACTACTGCTGAGGATTCGACTTCTGCACCTGAAGATAGCACCACAGCTGAGGATTCGACTCCTGCACCTGAAGAGAGCACCACAGCTGAGGAAGAAACAACATCCGCTCCTGAAGAGAGTACTACTGCTGAGGATTCGACTTCTGCGCCTGAAGAGAGTACTACTGCTGAGGATTCGACTTCTGCGCCTGAAGAGAGCACCACCGCTGAGGATTCCACTTCTGCACCTGAACAGAGCACCACAGTAGAGGACGAAACAACATCCGCTCCTGAAGAGAGTACTACTGCTGAGGATTCGACTTCTGCGCCTGAAGAGAGCACCACTGCTGAGGATTCCACTTCTGCACCTGAACAGAGCACCACAGTAGAGGACGAAACAACATCCGCTCCAGAAGAGAGTACTACTGCTGAGGATTCGACTTCTGCACCTGAAGATAGCACCACAGCTGAGGATTCGACTCCTGCACCTGAAGAGAGCACCACAGCTGAGGAAGAAACAACATCCGCTCCTGAAGAGAGTACTACTGCTGAGGATTCGACTTCTGCGCCTGAAGAGAGCACCACTGCTGAGGATTCCACTTCTGCACCTGAACAGAGCACCACAGTAGAGGACGAAACAACATCCGCTCCAGAAGAGAGTACTACTGCTGAGGATTCGACTTCTGCACCTGAAGATAGCACCACAGCTGAGGATTCGACTCCTGCACCTGAAGAGAGCACCACAGCTGAGGAAGAAACAACATCCGCTCCTGAAGAGAGTACTACTGCTGAGGATTCGACTTCTGCGCCTGAAGAGAGCACCACTGCTGAGGATTCCACTTCTGCACCTGAACAGAGCACCACAGTAGAGGACGAAACAACATCCGCTCCTGAAGAGAGTACTACTGTTGAGGATTCGACTTCTGCATCTGAAGATAGCACCACAGCTGAGGATTCCACTTCCGCACCTGAAGATAGCACCACAGCTAAGGATTCGACTTCTGCACCTGAAGACAGCACCACAGCTGAGGATTCGACTTCTGCACCTGAAGATAGCACCACAGGTAAGGACGAAACTACTTCTGCGCCTGGAGAGAGCACTACAGCTGAGAGTTCTACTTCTGATCCTGTAGAGAGCACAGCAGGTATGAATACACTATTTTTTCTACTGAAATAAACACCACAGCTGAAGATTCGACTTTTGCACCTTTAGAGAGCACCACAGATGATGTTGATTCTACAGCTGTCCAAGGCAGCTCATCACCATTGGATTCGACAACCGAGCCAGCGATAACAAATCCTGATTCCACTGAGACAACTTTAGCTGGAACTGGATCGACGTCTAGCCCGGCGACGTCGCCATCTCCTATACCGCCGATGTCTTGTGCCAGTGGCGCTGCCTATTTGCCGCATCCATCGGATTGCCATAAATTTATACAGTGTGGCAACGGACATGAATACATCATGAATTGTCCAGATGGTCTCTTCTGGAACTATCAGAACTTATACTGCGGCTATGATGACAGTGGATGCTTCAACAACAGTGGCAATATTAATGGCGAGGAACGGATTTGCAAGAACGGAATAGATTTTCTGTCAGACCCAAGCGATTGTACTAAATATATCCAGTGCAGCAATGGTCAACCAATAGTACAGAAGTGTCCCGAGCCTTTGTATTGGAATCCCGTCCTGAAAGCTTGTGATTGGTCCAGCATCTATTGTAAAACTCAGAAACAAGAGAATGAAACCACATCTTGTGCAATGGGTATGAATTTCGATGTTCTCCCAACCGACTGTTCAAAATACATCAAGTGTTTCGGGGAGCGCGGCGTTGTGATGAGCTGTAATTCTGGACTTTTCTGGAACCCTGTAAAGGAAGTATGCGAAAAATCACAGCGGTTCTGCAAGTAATATGAGAGCTTGACTAGTTACTCGTACAAAACTATTATTTCTCTTTAAATTTGTTTGTTATCCCATATTAACAGATTCATTTGAATTAAAGATTATTTTACAAAAAGTACTTCCAATTATTACTTTTGTCAGCTTACTTCTGCGAGAGTTGAAATTCGTTTGGTTAAATTTGAGAAAATGATCAGTCTTATCGAAATTGAAAGTGGACCAGACCATCAAGGGAAACTAACAGTCTGATCGAGTACAGAGTCTGGGCGAGTACGAGTAGATGCTCTCAATAGATCTCATTTTTGGTTGCATGCAAATTTAGTTCAATAGGCCTACGCTATTTGTGGCTGTGCTTTTTATTTTGTGTTGATCTTATCAAACTGGGCTTCAATTAAAAATATTATTAGCCTTGAAACATACCCCATACAGTGGATGAATATTTAATGCTTGAGTTCAATTAAAACACATGGCTTTTTAGAAGCTTTCAGCAGATAAGGGAAACTCGAGCTCAGGATTGATGTTGATTCTGTGGGGCTGAAGGGGCCTGATCTATTAATAGATATTACGATGGACTGTCTAACCAGAAAGCTAACGCAAATTTTTGGTCCCAAAGGTTATCAAAACAAATTACTTCCGCCCAGTTCGGCTCTATAAAATAGTTCCTTGGGAACTCAAAACTCAAATTAATTACGGCAGATACTACAAGAAAGATAGAGCGAGATAGAGGGAAACCCGAGCGTGAATGGCAAATTATCTGGGGAAGGGACACACTTGAAAATAGTATATCCAAAAGATACACAATTGGGTATCTTTATATGCTAATAAATGCTAGCACATTTCCTTAAAATGGGTCAAAAGTCTCCCCCAGTCGTTGGCGAAGACGATGATGTTGTAATGCCCCTTCCAAAGATACATTCGATGGAGTGGCGGGTCGCGGTCCCCCCAGTCCCATACTCAGCCAAGCCAAGTGATCGATTGACACGATCAAAGTGTTGATATGTAATGGAACAGGCACAGACACTCCAATGAATGGCACTGGCGACGAGCTCAGAGCTCTAAGTGGCCTGGCCTGTGCATTTGTGGTCGTATGGTGTATGGTGTGTGGTGCGGCGTTGTTATGTGTATGCGATAGGGCAGACACTCGAACCAGACTTCTGTGATTGTGTGGGTCCTACATAAATATTCATGTTGCTGGCTAAATGCAAATGTATTAGAAATTGCTCGCCTTCAATGAATTTGAGTTCTACTCAAGCTCTAGAGTTTTGATGCTCGGACAGCCCAACGTTATTCGCAATCCAGCAGTTGTCGCGTTCGGAAGCACTTCGGAACATTGGAACCCAGTTAGCATACAGGCGAAGAAGTATGTGATATGTTAAAAATACTGTCGAACAAAGGACGAAAAAGTGAAATGTAAAATCTAATTAAAGAACATTGAATACCAATTGTGCCGGATATGTGTATGGTCCATTGCAGCTTATCTTATGAAGCAGAATAAATTTCAACAGGATAATCATTCTTTACTTAAAGATTTGTGATGTGAACATTTAAATAAAACTGTGAAATTAAATATTCAGAATTTTAGTTAATAATGCTCCAGAGATATAAAGGACCTACCTAACGACCTTGCGAAAATGTCTTGAATATTATGAAGCTCCATCAATAAATTTCCATAAGTGAACTTTCAGAAGAGATAGTGTACATAGATAGTGTAGTGTAGACAGAGATAGATTGTGAGTTCTACTTAAGCTTTCAAGCGCGGACAGCCCTACGTTATTTGCAATCCAGCCGTCGTCGCGGTTTGAAGCTGATCGGAACATTCCCCTTGGAAACTAATAAGCATACAAGCGAAGAAGTATGTGATATGGAATAAACACAGTCGAATGAAGGACGACTGGAACAAAACCATTAACGGTTAAATTAACTAAAGGATACATTTTTTCTGTGATAAAAAAAAATATAAAGTCAATTAAAAGTCTGGATACTCCAGAGATATAAAGGACCTAGAGTGACGTGAAAAATATTAAAATCCCTAAACCAATTTCAGTAAAGGAATTATTGAGAAGAGATAGAGGATATTTTTATCATAAAAATAAAAATGACCAGAACCATCTTCTAAATAATATTTAAAAATTCGTATACATCTTCTGTTCATTATTTTATGCGATTACATCATGCCAAACGGAAATTGAGCCCAAGATCAATTGTTTTTTTTGTGTATAATAGTTTTTTGGCATCAAATAGAATCGTGTGTCCCCGTTCTCAAGAGAAGAGATAACCCCTCGAATGGGAGGGAACATACATAAACTAATATTAACGAGCATATGTGCTGTCCAATCAAATGTGTTGATAATACAATTAAATTTCATCTTACAGTTTGCTGGTTGTGTTCAGTAGACGTTGACACGTTTCAATTGGATTCGGAATTAGATTTATTGAAATGCTGCCCTTTCGCTGGGGCCTGCTACTAGGCGTCGTGGTGCTCATAGCGTGCGCCAATGGAGCGGCTATCGTAAGTGTCAAAATTGTTAATGAAACCCAAGAGCTGCGCTCGTGACTGTGCCTGTGACTGTGTGCGTGGATGTGTGGAACTACTCATAGAGTGGTTCAATGTAAATGAACTCGTCCCAATAGTAAGCGATAAGGCCCAATTTGACCAAGGTCAGTTTCAGCCACAGAATCGAATTAAGAACGGACACAGTACTCTAGCTTGAATGGCTCGTGATAAAGCTGACATTAGCATTGAACTTAAGTTTCTTCAATCACTTACAGGATCAATCGCCGCAAAGTGAAGATGAACTCACTGGCCTGGCTGATTTGGAGAGATCAAAGAGAAGCGGCAGAGGCTAGTAAGTAGGATACAAATAGATCAGACATATATGTATAATCAAAATGAATCATCCAAACCTCCCAGTGCAAGAGGGCAGACGCAGTCGCAGTACTTGAACTTTGGTAAACCCGAAGAAGACGGCAAGGCTGAGGCAGAGGCTAACGAAAGCGGATCACGTTCTGTAGTCTGTAAGTGATACATCAATCTGAATTCCTTGAACGATTGTAATTTATATCCTTCTTCAGCTGGTACTCACGGAATGGGCCAGGCCCAGAGTCAGTTCTCCTCTGGAGATTGCAGCGGCTGTTCTGGCTATCAAACTGGCAGCTCACTCGATGGCAGTGGAGGCTTTGTCGGAAGACCCGATGCTATCATTAGTCTTCCAGGTGCAGGTTAGTCAATCCGACATATATTTTTTGTTGGTGGTACCTGAATGAAATATTTATTTAGATGCTGTGAGCGGACAGCCTGGATTTGGTAGTCAACCTGGTGCCGGAAGTCTGATTGGTGAGCAGCCTAGCATTGGAGGCCTTCCAGGAGTCAGTGGTGGACAACAAGTATTCGGGCCGGTAGGACCCGGTGGCGCAGGTCCTTCAGTTAGCGGAGGACAAGCTGGTATCGATGGTGCTCAGCCCGGCTTTGGCGGTCAACCTAGCGTTGGAGGTCAACCCGGATACGGAACACAGCCGGGAAGTCAAACAGGCATCGGCGGGGGACAGCCAGGATACGGACCACAGCCAGGAGTTGGCAGCCAGCCAGGTTTCGGTGGCGGGCAGCCCGGATTTGGAGGCCAGCCTACCGAGGGAGGAACACCCGGCTACGAAGCCCAACCAGGAGTTGGCGGACAGCCTGGTGCCGGTGGCGGACAACCTGGTATTGGTGGTGGACAGCCCGGATACGGAACACAGCCAGGAAGTCAAACAGGCATCGGTGGTGCACAGCCCGGATATGGAGGTCAGACTGGGATCGGCGGCGGACAGCCAGGATTTGCCGACCAAACTGGCGTTGGAGGTCAACCAGGATCCGGACAGCCTGGTATCGGTGGTGGGCAGCCCGGTTACGGAACACAACCAGGAGTAGGAAGTCAGACAGGTATCGGTGGTAGACAGCCCGGATTTGGAGCCCAGCCAGGAGTTGGCGGACAGCCTGGTGTTGGTGGTCAACCCGGATACGGATCACAACCAGGATTAGGAGGTCAGACTGGCATCGGTGGTGGGCAGCCTGGTATTAGTGGTAGACAACCCGGATACGGATCACAACCAGGATTAGGCAGTCAGACTGGTATTGGTGGTGGACAGCCCGGATATGGCGGTCAAACTGGCGTTGGAGGTCAACCCGGCTACGGACAGCCTGGTTTCGGTGGCGGACAACCTGGTATAGGTGGACAGCCCGGATACGGAACACAACCAGGAGTAGGAGGTCAGAATGGTATTGGAGGTGGACAGCCCGGATTTGGAAGACAAACTGGCGTTGGTGGTCAACCCGGATACGGAACACAGCCAGGAGTGAGTGGACAGCCTGGTTTCGGTGGCGGACAACCTGGTATCGGTGGCGGACAGCCTGGTTTCGGTGGTGGACAACCAGGTATAGGTGGCGGACAGCCCGGATACGGAACACAGCCAGGAGTTGGTGGTCAAACTGGCGTTGGTGGTCAACCTGGGTACGGAACACAGCCAGGAGTTGGCGGTCAAACTGGTGTTGGTGGTCAACCCGGATACGGATCACAACCAGGATTAGGAGGTCAGACTGGCATCGGTGGTGGGCAGCCTGGTATCAGTGGTAGACAACCCGGATACGGATCACAACCAGGATTAGGCAGTCAGACTGGTATTGGTGGTGGTCAGCCCGGATTTGCCAGTCAAACTGGCGTTGGAGGCCAACCCGGATACGGACAGCCTGGTTTCGGTGGCGGACAACCTGGTTTGGGTGGCGAACAACCTGGTATCGGTGGCGGACAGCCCGGATACGGAACACAGCCAGGAGTAGGAGGTCAGACTGGTACTGGTGGTGGACAGCCAGGATTTGCCGGTCAAACTGGCGTTGGTGGTCAACCCGGATACGGACAGCCTGGTTTCGGTGGCGGACAACCTGGTATCGGTGGCGGACAACCTGGTATCGGTGGCGGACAGCCCGGATACGGAACACAGCCAGGAGTAGGAGGTCAGACTGGTACTGGTGGTGGACAGCCAGGATTTGCCGGTCAAACTGGCGTTGGTGGTCAACCCGGATACGGAGCCCAACCAGGAGTTGGTGGACAGCCTGGTATTGGTGGTAGACAGCCCGGATACGGAACACAGCCAGGAGTTGGAGGTCAACCTGGCGTTGGTGGTCAACCCGGATACGGAGCCCAACCAGGAGTTGGTGGACAGCCTGGTTTCGGTGGCGGACAACCTGGTATCGGTGGCGGACAGCCTGGTTTCGGTGGCGGACAACCAGGTATAGGTGGCGGACAGCCCGGATACGGAACACAGCCAGGAGTAGGAGGTCAGACTGGTATTGGTGGTGGACAGCCAGGATTTGCCGGTCAAACTGGCGTTGGTGGTCAACCCGGATACGGACAGCCTGGTTTCGGTGGCGGACAACCTGGTATCGGTGGCGGACAACCTGGTATCGGTGGCGGACAGCCCGGGTACGGAACACAGCCAGGAGTAGGAGGTCAGACTGGTACTGGTGGTGGACAGCCAGGATTTGCCGGTCAAACTGGCGTTGGTGGTCAACCCGGATACGGAGCTCAACCTGGAGTTGGTGGACAGTCTGGTATTGGTGGCGGACAGCCTGGATACGGAACTCTACCACGAGTAGGAAGTCAGACTGGTACCGGGGGTAGACAGCCTGGCTTTTCCGGTCAAGCTGGTGTTGCAGGTCAACCCGGATACGGAGCCCAACCAGGAGTTGGTGGTCAAAGTGGCGTTGGTGCTCAACCTGGATACGGAACACAGCCAGGGGTTGGTGGACAACCTGGTATCGGTGGCGGACAAACAGGATTTGGTGGTCAAGCTGGCGTTGGAGGACAACCCGGATACGGAACACAGCCAGGAGTAGGAGGTCAGACTGGTATTGGTGGTGGACAGCCAGGATTTTCCGGTCAAACTGGCGTTGGTGGTCAACCCGGATACGGACAGCCTGGTTTCGGTGGCGGACAACCTGGTATCGGTGGCGGACAGCCCGGATACGGAACACAGCCAGGAGTAGGAGGTCAGACTGGTATTGGTGGTGGACAGCCAGGATTTGCCGGTCAAACTGGCGTTGGTGGTCAACCCGGATACGGAGCCCAACCAGGAGTTGGTGGACAGCTTGGTATTGGTGGTAGACAGCCCGGATACGGAACACAGCCAGGAGTTGGTGGTCAAACTGGCGTTGGTGGTCAACCCGGATACGGATCACAACCAGGATTAGGAGGTCAGACTGGCATCGGTGGTGGGCAGCCTGGTATCAGTGGTAGACAACCCGGATACGGATCACAACCAGGATTAGGCAGTCAGACTGGTATTGGTGGTGGACAGCCCGGATATGGCGGTCAAACTGGCGTTGGAGGTCAACCCGGCTACGGACAGCCTGGTTTCGGTGACGGACAACCTGGTATAGGTGGCGGACAGCCCGGATACGGAACACAGCCAGGATTTGGTGGACAACCTGGTAGCGGTGGCGGACGACCTGGATTTGGTGGTCAAGCTGGCGTTGGAGGACAACCCGGGTACGGAACACAGCCAGGCGCTGGCGGACAGACTGGTATCAGTGGTAGACAGCCCGGATACGGATCACAACCAGGATTAGGCAGTCAGACTGGTATTGGTGGTGGCCAGCCCGGATTTGGAGGTCAACCCGGATACGGAACACAGCCAGGAGTTGGCGGACAATCTGTTATCGGTGGTGGACAGCCCGGTTATGGAACCCAACCTGGTGTTGGAAGTCAGACAGGTATCGGTGGTGGGCAGCCCGGAGCTGGAGGAACTCAGTATGGCGGTGGGCAACCGGGAGCCGGTGGTGTTTTAGACGGTCAAGTGGGTGCTCCAGGACGCTATACAGCTGGATCTGGTGTCGCTCCTGGTGGAGCTGCTGGTGCTGGTAAGTCTCGCAAACCTCTTTGAACTGATGCAAAAATGCTAATTTGATAATTTTAGGTGTGCCAGGTGCAGTTTCCGGTGGAGCTGATGACACATTCTCTCAAGCGGCATCCACGATTGGCAACGGCCAGGCATCTGCCAGTGCCGAGGGCAAAAAGAATGGCGGAACAGCTAAGACTCAAGTGTCCGGCACATACAGTACGGGCGGTTCGTTCAGCGCCAGTGCAATGACTTCTGATGCAGATCGAGCCGCCAGCGCTCAGGTTACTGGCAATGCTGATGGCGCTATGAGCCAGTCCCAAGGCTCGGGAGGACCAGCCCAGTCCCAAGCCCAAGTGCAGGTCAACAACAAGGATGGAGGCACCAAGGCTTCATCACAGAGCGGAGGTCTGATTCATCAGAGCCAGAGCGAGGTGCAGGCCAACGATAAGGGTGGTTTGGCCGATGCCCAGTCCAGCGGACCCGGTCAAACATCTTCCCAAGCTCAAATTGGCTTCCGTCCTGGTCAGGATACCGGCTCGCCAGTGTCTCCAGGAGGTGGTCAGGCCTCTGCCCAATCGGGCAGCCATTCTGGTCAAAGCCAGTCCCAGATCCAAGGAACGTCCAGGTAAGCACAGAGTGAGGCTGGAGAGACAACAAGAAATCAAAGCCACTTCCATTTGCAGCTTTGGTGTGTCATACCATGGTGCTGCCCAGTCCGCGTCAGGAACCAAGGAGCAGGTTGATACCTATCGGGAACAGAATCGAGAGCTCTTCAATACAATCAGCCAGTTTGGCAACAGTGGCAATGCGTGGGTACACCTCGATTGGAATTTTCGGTGCATTTCACAAACTATATTTCCATTTCAGTGTAACCGATCGTGCTGATGCCGTCTTTAGTGGCCCGGCACTCACATCTGAATCCGATTCAATACCCGAGCTGCAGCTGAAGTCCACAAAGACCAGCAAGGAGGAGCCCGAGAAGGTCGAAAAGAAGCCCGATCAGCCGGAGCCAGTGCAATACGAAGAGGAGGAAGAGGATGAGGGCGATGAATATGACGAGGATGAGTACTACAACGAGAACCCCGTCAAGCTGGAGGAGGGTCCTAAGGCGCCGAGCAAGATTCAGAATGCGGAGTCCACTCCTCATCCACAGACCTATACCCAGTCGTCTCCCACGCAGAAGCAGCAGGCCGTAGTGGCCCCATTGCCAGCGGAAAAATACCAGCTGGTGCAGAAACAGAACGGTGTCGTCAACAGCTACACGGAGCGATCAACCACTGAGTCCGTGCCCAGTGGGTTCCGCGGCACGGTTAACGTTCAAAAGAAGTTTCACACGAAGTCGCTTGAGCTGCACAACACCGAGAAGAAGGTCGAGATCAGTGCCGACACTGACTCCGATGCTCCGAGTGCACCCACTCGCGACAACAAAGCGCCTCGCGCCCCAGACAGCTATGTAACAGTCACCAAGTCGGTGACAGGAAGCATGGATAATAGCAAGAACCCACCGCAGGACAACAAGAACTTCCAGTCTACGTACTACACAAAGTCCTCGACCTGCGGATACTTCACCTTCTCCTGCAACATTGTCTACGGTGCGAATGGACGCAGCAAGATCTGTCGCCCAAAGGCTCCGGCCAACGGCAAGTGCTAAATGAGAGGGAGAAAATCAATAACCCCACCCACCACACATTATAGTAGATCAGTTCCCAAAGGGGCTAATTGTAGAACTCTAAAAGCTTACTGGCACCAAAAAGCACCCACATATTTGTATTTTTATGCAGCAAGTTCATAAGCATTTAAGTGTTTTTTGCAAATAATTTTAGCATCTTACTGCCATGTCTTAAATATTTCATAGGCTTTGCAATTGTAATTAATATTAAATAAAATTCATAAGAAACGGAAAGTATCCCGGAAACGTTCTTTAAATATTATCTGGGAGCACATTCAAACACACATTTTGTCGCAGGTGAGCAGTTTAGAGTTCCAGAACAGATACTGTGGGCAGGTCTTCACAAAGGGAAGATAGTCACATTGTATGAAGCGCGTACAGTCACCAGGGTATGGTATTAGTTGTCCAAGTTTCCCAGCGCATGCGACTGACAGACTGTCGGCGGGTACGGTGTCAGAACAACCTGCGGGGGTCTCTATGCCACATCGCTGCAGTTGGGCGTTCCAGTGCAAGTCCGGAGGGCAGCTGAGCTCGCGCGTCTCGTAAAACAGCTTGCAGTCGCTGGGATAGGGCTCTCTGATCAAGGCCTGAGAACTCAATACGAGCAGAGCTCCTAAAAGCAAGAATTGGATAGTCACTGACATAGTATATTAATTAAAGAATTTTGAAATTCTGATCAATAAATATACTTCTCAGAGAGATGTGGACACTCGCTGGCTTGGGGTCTATCTGAACTGTCAACTGTCTCTTCTGGCATTTATATAGATGCACAGGCGAGTTTCTCCATACTGCAATCAGTGATAAGCCCCCAGCTATGTATGTACAATTAATGTAAATATTGGCATGAGGGAAGTACTTCCGACCACATCAAGTTCTCAAGTAGGTATCAATATACCCCGATCAGCTGTTTTATATTATGTTCAGCTCTGTCATGCTTTACGTTCATTTCTTTCCTTCTGTAAGAGATACCTGTATATAAATGTATCTTTGATCTTTACATAGACTTTCTTGATTCTTAAACTCACATTGAATTGCTTTCACTTGAACGAGTGTCGTCTGACCTTGGAACGATAAACTTGTCCGGTTAAGTGGCTTCTTGTTTACATATTCGATTGTTGCAAAATCCATATCGACAAATAGAAATACATTTTCCCTTGCAGCAGATAGCTTTATGTTAAGGAAATCCATCCATGTCTGTTATTGGTTCCATAGCTCCATATCTGTTCAACGGATTTCCAGAGTGATTTCCTAGAAATGATTCTCATAATACAAATAAAAAAGGTAATGGGATAAATAAAATTGAAGTACTTGCCCTTGATAAGATGCCACAGGGATTTGTATAAAAGACGGCGCAGTGCAATGGCAGGCATCATTGCCTTATTGAGCCACCTCTGGAGCAAAACAAAAGTAAGACTGCCTGTAAATGACTCATAATACCAATCAATACAGTACCCACCTACCATCCTCTTCTGCAACAGCGATGCGTGCCTCTGTCTTTGCTTTTGTGGTCTTGGTAGCTGTGCTTGCCGCTTTGGAGGGTGAGGCGTATGTTGAAGTGGTAAGTTGCCTGCACGAGCCTGCTCCAAAAGCGATCTAAAATCTTTGCTCTGCTAGCCGATCAATGCTGACATGTCCCTGGCCATGCCACAATGTCCAGCCTACGACGATCCCAGCCGTTTGGTGGTGCTGCCATTTCCCAATGACTGCCGCAAGTACTTTACCTGTCTCCGGGGTCGTCCCTACGTGACCCAGTGTCCGGAAAGCTTGTTCTGGAGCCAGCGAAACTATCGTTGCGATTACCGAGAGTACTCCGACTGCCAGAGCCCCGACACGGAGGGTTGGGTTGAGTACAGCGCCTATCCTGGAGACTGCAGTCGCTTCTACGAGAAGCGTGTCATTCGCTGCTCCAACAACCATTTATTTAATGCGCACAGTCAACGCTGCGAGCCTTCTCAGTTTGTCAACAGTTGCGAGTCTTTGCCTCCATGGAACAGCGGGTTGCCCACCGAACCCAACTATCCCATGATCCCACCCGTAATCCCCACTGCTGCCCCTCCAGAGCCGGAATACAATGCCCCGATTGATGCACAATTGCTGTGCAATAACAGCATCCCAAATTCATATATTCCGTTTCCCGGAGACTGTCGCAAGTTTATCTACTGTGGACCAACGGCCACTGTGTTGAATTGCGGCGCTGACTCGTTCTGGAACCCCATTCTGGTCACCTGCACTGCCACCAGCAGTGGATGCCAGGCTCTCCACTACAACTGAAGCTGAAACAATATTTAGGTCACGGGTTAGATTCTAGAACCCACTTTAATTATTCTGAGCACAGTCAATAAATGCACATTTAATATTTCATCAAGACTACCAAACGAATCTTGCAATTGCCTTAAGGGACTCCCACATAAATACTTCATTATTATTAAACAACAAATCATTGGTGCTGCAACCTGCCAGTTGGGGCTCCATGCAGGCCAGATCAGTGGGGCTGAACTCTTTTCCATTTGTACACGCATATCCCACAGGAATGGGCTCCTGACAAACTATGAACTTGCTGCAATTGCCGGGATAGGGAACCGGGGAGCCTTCGGCTTGATCAGCGCAAAAGCTACCCTCTGTTGGAGTCCCCTCAGCTGTGGTGGCAGAAGGAAGCGGAGTTGTTGTGGCTGGGATTGTACAGTTCGCAACCCACGGAGCCATGCACCGTTCGAGGAATGCACTGAATTCTTGACCCTCTGCACAGTCATAGACGATGGGTAAAGGTCGCACACATTTTATGAACTTGCTGCAGTCGTTGGGATATGGAACTAGTTTACCAGCAGGCATGCCCTCGCAGGGATCTGTGGCTTCTGTAGTTGGAGTACTTTCTGTACTGATAGTCGTTGATTGTTGTTCGGTTGTTCCTGTGCTGCCTGCAGTGGTTGAGTCGTAGTCCCATCGACAGGCTTCTGGGGATACATCGGGGCCACAATGCCCTGTCAACGGGTCGAAAAACTCTCCACTTCCACACACTCCCATCATATAAACGACATCGTCCAGGCAGTGTATAAACCACTGGCAATTGTCGGGAAACGGTAAGGTGTCGCCAGCTTTGTTGTGGCAGACCGTCGTACTTGGAGTTGGTGTGGTTTGGCTGGGCGAAGGAGTTGTCGTCTCTCCTTTTGGGCAATCACTCAGCTCCCACTCGACGCATTGCTGCAGTGCCTCGTTAAAGTAGTAGCCTTTCATGCAATAAAAGGCAATAGGAACCGGGCTTGCACACACAATGTATTTGCTGCAATCTTCGGGATAGGCAGCGTAATGACCCTCGCTCTGGCCCGAGCAGATTTCAGAATCAACTGGCAGGCTGGTCGTTGTGTCTGGAGTCTGAATGGTGGTCCAACTGGTAGAGTGTGTTGTAGAAGGAGTTGTGGATTGACTGGCAGTTGATTCAGTGGCGACTCCATTCTCCGTGCAGGCTGTAGGTGAAACCTCGGGGCCGCAATTGCCCGTTTGGGGATCATACCAGGCATTATAAATGCAATTGGCTATGCTGTAGCTTCCGTCTCCCATGCACAGGATGTACTGTTGGCAGTTCGTCACAAGTGGGTAGGAGAAGCCCAGCTTCTGATCCGCGCAAAGATCGTCCCAGCTTTGGGTAGTTTGAACGGTTGTGCTAGTGGTAAACGAGTCGAGGCACGCTGTGGGCGACACATTGGGTCCGCAGTCGCCAGTCTTCGGATCGAACCATGCGTTCACTGGACACTTGGCAGTTGCGGACTGGCCACCGCCCAGGCAAAGAACGTACTGTTGGCAGTCTGATTCCAATGGAAAGGCGACGCCCAGCTGCTGTTCAGCGCATAGGTTTTCCTTCTCCTCTAGCGTTGTTGGAGGTACGGTGAGGAGCGTTGTAGATGTTGTCACCTCGCGGCACGCTTCTGCTGAGACCTCTGGCCCACAATTACCACTGTACGGGTTGTACCAATTGTCAATGGGGCAGGGAAGGATTATGAAAGAGTTGTTGCCGAAGCAGTAGTAATATTGCTGGCAGTTGTTCCGGTACGGAAATCTTGTTCCCTGCTTCTGGCCGACGCAGTCATTGAATATCCCCTCCGTTGTCGATGTCGTTTCTTCCACCTCCTGGCTCGATTGGTCGCCGTAACACAAGACATCGTTTGGATAGTCACAGATGCGGAGGGCTGGATTAAATAGCATTTGGCCGGGGCACTGGTCCACTTCACCACGATCGTCCACACACACGAAGAACTCGTTGCACGCACTCTCGGATGGAAACACACTGTGGTTTGCTTGACCAACGCAAGGATCTGCCTCGGTGGACGGAGGGGTTGGGTAAGGCGATTCCGTGCATTCAACGGCTTCGGGTGTGTCGCAAATACGCAAAAGATTGTTGAAAAGTTTTCCCGCCGGGCAGTACTCAAATTCAGGGCAGGACTCTGTGCACGAAATGAAGGCGCTGCAGTTGTACGGATATTTATAGTTTCCCACAGGCAACGACGCACAAAAGTCAGAGTCCACTTCTGGCGGCGATTGGCATTCCTTCATCAAATCACCATCGCAGACGGTTGTCAATAGATAGGCGATTAACGTATACAATTTGCAGTCTAAAACTAAAACGAGAAGAGAATGCACAAGTTAAGAAATGTTCGAGAATACTTTATTGCATGAAATTCAATTAATAATGGGTTCGCCCTTATGTAGACCATTTACCTTTCATTGTATGTGCTCTGAATATCACTATTAGGTTTTAAAATTTGTAATTTATTATTGAAAAGCAATGAAGTCACATGTATTTATGGGCGCACGGTTTATAAATTACTGAACTGAATCATTCTCTTCAAATTTTTGGCCATTCTTAGGCAAAATAAACAGATAGTCGCCTGCCAATCATATTGACTGTATGTCCGTTTCATCGATAATGACTAATTCAAGTTGATAAGGGTTTAATAGCTGCTCTGAGAAATTAAAACAGAATGCGTATCTTGGTCAAGGAAATAGACAACAGGCTTCAAATATTCGACAACTGCTGATGGCTACTATCACTCAGCTCGTATTTTCCACTGACATAAGCAAGATAGTAAAAAAGCAATTAACAATGAACTGATGAGAGACAAAATAAGTGGTGGAACATCCCTTTTATAGATGGTAAAGACGCAAAACAAACACTTAACTTAGCTCATCAGTACATGTGCCTACTTTTAGGCAAACATCGATATATATTTTAGGAATCTTTTAAAAGAATATTTAACGTTTTCTTGGTTTGGCCATGAAATGCTCTAGCAAGGAGTTCATCGACCGCATCTTTTACTTTTTCCAACAAAATTAAATACAAATGAATGAAAATCAAGTCAACCCTTGATAACCGAGCTCATTCCGTTAATTTCTGTTAATTTCTGTTAATTTCTGTTAATTTCGTGAAATTTCTGGGAATACCTATGTGTGCAGATATGCGTGCAGTAATGGTATGTGTTTATAAGACATTACATATGTTTTTTATGAACTGTCTTATCAATTCTTAGTAAAGAAATATGCGAGCAGATAGCGAATGGAGGAGTACTTGTGCACTTATCAGATTTCCCTGATATTATCAAAGAGAGAACATTTTACATATTGGGAGCGCATGCTAATTTGAATTCATTGCGAGTGTATAAAAACGATGTACGACGAATGGAAAAGTTCAGTTCGATAGCGATACCCAATATGAAGCTCCTTGGACTGCTGTGGACCCTTTGCGTCTTGTATAAAACATCTCTGGCTCGCGTACAAGTGGGTACCAGTACCAGGCAGCGAAAGCCAAGAATGAACACATAAAGATGATTAAAGAACTAACTAAGTACCATGATTCCACAGGACGGCTTCTCGTTTAAGACATCCATTTGTGATGGTAAGAACGGGGGCCTTTTGCCCATGTATGGAACGTGTCGGGGATATTATGTGTGTCTGGATGGGAACGCTGTAATCGGATCCTGCGACGGAGGCACATTGTTTAATCCCAAAACTTTACATTGCGATGATGCCATGGACGTGGACTGCATATTCGAGGCCAAGCAAAGTGATTACAACGATGGATCGAGCTCGGAAAGTGAGGAGGATGAGGAGCCCCCGAAAACCGATGCCCCACCCACGCGGAGACCGTCAAAGCAGCATAGACCTCAGCCACAAACACAACAAACTTCGGATACATTCAACAGAGTGTGTGCTGGTAAGAAGGATGGCATTACCCTGGCAAAGGACGACTCGTGCAGTGAGTACTTTGTGTGCGAGTCGAAGCAGCCGCGTCTTCGCGTTTGTCCCACCAATCAGCACTTTAGTCCCACTCGGCGGATCTGTATGAAGCCGAAAGACGCCAAGTGCCTGGTGAGTCAGGAAAAAAATCGACTAGAGGAGCCAGCCACATCCGCCGGAGCCTGTTCCGATGAAAAGGAGAGCTCCTTGGTGGCCCATCAGAAAGATTGCGGAAAGTTTTTACTCTGCAGCAACCAGGTTTTCCTTGTAATGGATTGTCCCACTGGCTTGCATTTTAATTCCAAAACGATGCGGTGCGACTACCCAAAGATCGCGAAATGTCAAGTGAAGGAAAAGGGAAATAAAACTGCAGCAAAGACCAAAAATGCAGCACGAAAACCCAAGAATCGTCCCTTGTAACACTTGCATGCAAATAAAATAAATATCCCATGTGTCATCACATGTTTCATGCTTCAAGTATCAACTATTATATAGCTTCCAAAGCTAGTAAATTACTATAAGACAGGGAAAGCCAAATAAAATACCACTAAGTAGTTTAGAAATTTCGATACTAATTTAAAAACGTCCCCAAACGTTGGATTCCTAAATTCAAATTAGCTAAAATGCGCTGTTAAAATTATAGGTTTATTGTATTATTCAGCATTCCACGTTGGCGGGCCAATCGCAGACCTTGAACAGCGGATTATAGAGCAATCCATTGCTGCAGTTGAAGTCCACCTCACACTCGCACTGGCAGACCACATAGGCGCTGCTGCACTTGTTGCTGGCATCGCCGAACATGGTTCCATCCCGCTGGCCCACACAACGACCTTGGCTTTCGCAGTAGGTGCCAGATGGTCCGGCATTGGGGCCGCTGGGTGGCGCAGATCCATCCTCGCAGTTCACATTCTCCGGGAAGTCACAGTCAAGCGTGAGCGGGTTGAACTGAAGGTTATTCGGACACGTTTGCTCAAACTTGTTGCCATAGACACACTGGGTGAAGGCAGAACAGTTCTTATCCACGGGTCCAATCCAATTGTTGGGCTTATCGCAGCACTCTGGGTCGCACACTTTGCTGATGCACACGCCTTCGGTGTCCACAATACACTTCTTCTGTGTGGCATTAAAGTAGTTCAAGTCGGGACACTTTCTAGCAACCAAGCTCCCATGGATACACTCCAAATATCCAGCGCAGTCAGCGGCATTCACGTCAAGTTCTCCCTCTGTGCAGCTGGGGCTGCCATTGCACTCGCCGTTGTCCTTTTCGCATGAGCTCTTCTCCGCGTTCCAGTAGTTTCCACTCGGACATGACTTTGATACGAGCTTTCCACCTGAGCAGAGCTTATATTTGGTACAGTCTGTGGAGTCTGCTTCAGTGCTGCCCTCCACACAGCCAACGCACACGCCGTCGGTATCAGGAGTGCACACTCCCAGGTTGACATTAAAGTACGACTGATCTAGACACTTTTGACTCACAAGGTTTCCGTTGACACACTTCAAATATCCAGCGCAGTCGGTGGGATCCTCCTGCAGCTCTCCCTCTGTGCAGCTGGGGCTGCCATTGCACTCTCCGTTGTCCTTTTCGCATGAGCTCTTCTCCGCGTTCCAGTAGTTCCCGGTTCCACATGACTTGGATACGAGCTTTCCACCTGAGCAGAGCTTATATTTGGTACAGTCTGTGGAGTCTGCTTCAGTGCTGCCCTCCACACAGCCAACGCACACGCCGTCGGTATCAGGAGTGCACACTCCCAGGTTGACATTAAAGTACGACTGATCTAGACACTTTTGACTCACAAGGCTTCCGTTGACACACTTCAAATATCCAGCGCAGTCGGTGGGATCCTCCTGCAGTTCTCCCTCTGTACAGGTGGGGCTGCCATTGCACTGGCCGTTATCCTGTTCACACTCGCCGGACGCCCAGTTCCACCAGTCTCCACTGTCACAAGACTTCTGGACGAACTTGCCGGAGCAGCAAACGTAGTACTTGGTGCAGTCATCCTCGTCGATCTTCTGCTCGCCATCTTGGCAACATTCTGCATTCAGTGACCCAATGAGAACCGAAAGCGCAAGCCACAGGGAAAAGGCTGCAATCCAAGAACTAAATTTGAGGAAATCTTTCTCCATCAGCGCGAGTGAACTTACCGAACTGTAGATGCTTTGATTGAGACATCTTTTCGCCACGCATATTGAACGTCTACTGAAGAACCATCGGTCCATATCGGCTTTTATATTTTCGGGCAATTAAAATAATTAAATGTCTTCCTGGCACCCGGAGATGATAATGTGGGACCACTCGTGATTTTATCAGCGCATTCGGTAGTTATACGATCGGAGGATGTTGTAGCACTATTTATAAAACTGTCAGTCACGTTTTCCGTTTGCGAAATGCAAGGGGAGAGCGGCCAGAAATCGAGGTGCGCTTGAAGAAGTTCTTGGGTCGAATCTCTCTCCCTGCAGCCTCAGTGACTGCCGATTATGAGCTCCAACTTGATTTATATCATACAAACTCGCAATTATTCCACTCGAAGTGAGAACTGATAAAACACAGCTGCCGAACAGTGTCCAGTCCGAGTCTGATTAGAAAGATTTATGAGTGCAGACCACCCCATTACCTATCGTTGAATTATCGACGGGTAAGAGAGGTCGACGGACCGCAGACCATTTGGTTGCCAGAAAAACTAAATATATTTCATTGGATGACTTTAAGTTATAGATTACATTTGACGTTGGTGGCATAGTTGCAGGTCAATAGGTCCTCGTCCCAGTACAGACCTTCGGGACACGCCAGCTCGACCTCGCACTCGCACTGGCAGATGACGTAGCCGTTGCAACTGGTCTCGGATGGCAGATAGGTGCCCTCCCGGGCGTTCAGGCAGCGGCCGTTGCTCTCGCAAGCGATGCCCGAGGGTCCGGCGTTTGGTCCTGACGGCGGCGTATGTGGCCACTGGCACTCCACGTTCTGTGGATAGTCACAGATCTCAGTTGTGGCATCGAAGAGCAAGTTGTTGGGGCACAGCTGCTCAACGGCACAGTTGAAGTTGCACTTGTAGAACTTGTTGCACACCCCATCGACAGGGAAGAGGGTTCCCTCCGCCTCGCCCTGGCACACGGTGCTGGTGCTGTTGCAGACAACTTCCGGAACATAGCCCTCGGGATAATCGCACTCATTGGAGGTGACGTTGTAGACGAGACCGTCGGGACAGACAACCGCAGCCGACTCGTCGCTCCAGTCCCAATCGCAGACCTGAGCCGTCTGATTGAACTTGGTGTACTCGTCGCAGGGCATGGCGATGGGGCACTGGCATTGGCACACGAAGTACCCATTCGTGTCGGGATCGGCCAGCAGCGTTCCGTCACGCTTGCCCGCACAAACGCCCTGACTGGCACAGGTCGTGCCCGAGGGTCCCTCAATCTCCTCTGTGGAGTCCGCGGCTAACGCTGGTGTGCACTCCACGTTCCAAGGATAGTCACAGTCACCGCTGCTGGGGTTGAAGTACAGGCCGGAGGGGCAGCTGATCTCGTTGACGCATCGATTACTGCACTGGATGTACTTTCCGCACACTCCCGGAATTTCCAGCTTGGCATTGGTACTCACATTGGCACACTCGTCGCGCTGGCTGGAGCAGTAGGTGGGCACAGCGGATGGAGAGGACGGAGTGGTGTTGACGGCATTGTTCGTGTCGGTTGTGGCCTCATCGGTCGTGGTCTCATTGGACTCTGTAGTCTCATCGGAGTCATCATCGTTCGTGGGTTCTGTGGGGTTAGTGGCGCCTGTGACGGCTGGTTCTGTGGTGGTTGACTCCGTGTTGCAGGGCTCTGTTACCAATGTGGTCAGACCTGGCCCATCCACGTCAGTGTTCGGGCATTCATCGGCGCAACAGGTGCAGGTGCAGTCTGCATCAGCCCTGGCATCAGCTCCTGCGAATGGCGACAGGCCCAAGCAGTTGGCCCGCCACTGGAAATCGCACTCGGCCAGTTCACGATTGAAGTGCAGTCCGCGGGGACAGCTGCCGATGGCAGCCACTTCTCCATGCTGGCATACCGCAAAGCGACCGCAGTGAGTCGATACAGGCAGACGAGTTCCGTCCAGCTCATAGAGGCAGACACCCGCGGATGCGGATGCGGACGCGGATGCGGTTGCGGCAGCGACCAGTAGAAGCGTCCAAAGAGCTGAGGCCAAAAACGACGACAACAGAGTATACAGAACAAACTTCATGAACGGCTCTTACTAACCCACTCACCACACAAATCGGTGTTGCGCATTTTCAAGACGTTCAGCAGCTTTGAAGTAGTCCAAAATACGCGAACGACTAAGTGGCGACCCTGGCAGAGACGAGGCATTTATGGGAGCGAAAAACAAAACTGCCTCGAGTGCTGCGAATCAGGAGCCAATCTTCTGATAATACCAATAACCATATTTATCACTTGATTAAGTCAACAAGTGATTTTTGGCGCTACGCACTATCGCACGAGTGTAATTACGTGCATGTCTCGAGCACGGACTTGGGACCGGGGGGCCGTGAGCGGTGAGCGGTGAGCATGCCCGAAAGGCACTCATTAACAAATTCAACGCATACCGTGGCACTATTGACACTACCCATTAATTGGCGTTTAATGTCGATCAATATGAAGTGACTGAAGCGTGTACCGCTCTCTCGGATACAATCACGACAAGTAGCAATCCAGCAATCGCGTCGGTGCTCGAATGAAAGATACTTAGTTCCGGTGATACAATATGCACGAATACGGTTATCAGCATGTTGTTTGAAACCCATTGACTGCCTAAGGGAAACACTCTGCGCTGCTGTTGTGTGGTTCGCACTCTCTGTGGCTATGTAGGGCAGCATAGATAGATGCTTAACACTCTGACAAGACCCCCCAAGAGCCCAGTCTTTTGTTGAATGAGAGAAGCCTTATATTGCCTGTTAGGGTTGAGCCTAAAGACAGCAGAAGTTATTCTTATCGTACGTTGAGATTAGGTGGTAGCAAAGAAAACGATACCGAGAGAAGGTGTTGCAGACAAAGGAGAAACCTGACATGCATTACCACCCTTCGTTCGGTGATCGATTAGTTATTGTTATCAATTAGTTCATTCCATCGATTGGCGATCGTTCATTCACATTTTCATTTGCTCCTTGTGGGCGGATACGCTTGGAGGTTGTGCGGTGTTTGGGGTTGCGATAATGGACACTTTTTATAGACGCTATCGAACATTGAACGCATGTTTGTATACCCTGCATTTGTATTGTAGAAAGGTATACTAAATTCAGGTCAACTTATGTAACACTTGAAGCAATGGGATGATGGTGGCTTGGAGTAGCGAGTATATTGTAGTAGAATATGGAAATACCGACACAAATATCTCGATGGAAATGTGATTAAGCGCGATTAATAATCTAATTACTCTCACTGATAGTTTATTTGCAATCGAAGCGACAACCTTTGGGCGCTGAGCACTGGAAATATTCAGAGAAATTGTCAATTGTCTCAGGATTTGAATTGTGCTACTGAACCAACAACATGCAGATGAAAATTGCGGTGAGAGGCTGGCTGGCTTCCTGCTGCTTCGCGGCGAGTTGGACGGGGAGCGTCAGCTGAAACCGGAGACAATGCAATTCTAATTATTCAAATGCGAGCCAAGTACGCTTGAATTAAATTACCAAACTTAAGAAAACATAAATGGCAAAAGGAAGAGCACCAGTTGCCGTTGTGTGCCAGGCCCTAGACACTTGGGTTACTTGGGGCCGTGGAAAGCCAACGACAGGCTTATACTAGCACTCTAAGGCACATCGGTGTGGTGTCCATTACATGCAGCGCATCGAGCTGGAGAGCGCTGTTGCCGCTCGTCAAATGCCATAAGGGGCAACAAAAGACAGCCGGGCAGAAATGTGAGTTGATCTGCGACATCCATGTGCATGTGGGCTCGCAAGAGGCTCACTCTCACACTGGCAGCCGGGCCACTTGCAGTGTCTATTGTGAAAATCTTCTCAGGTGTAACAGGTTTCTCAGATTTAAACTGAGGTCGCCCCTGTCGTGCACACAGTCATCAACGGCACTCGCCACGCCATCGATCGTGATCGTGATCGCGGAGCAGGAGCAGGAGCAGGAGCAGCCGGGGACAGCTCCGCCCTTGCAGTTAATGTTCGAATCGAAGAACTGAGATCGATTGGTGCATAGATATAAAGAGGACTCGCTAATTTTCAACTCTAGCACCATTCGAAATCAGTGCTTTTGATGAGAACCATTCAGCAGATTCAGACTCAGTGATTCCCCAAAGTGGCTAGTGTCAGTGCTCGAAAATGGACTCGTACAAAAAGTTTAAATCAAACCCAGAGAGTATAACTAATGAGTGCTGAGCTGAGTTGAGCAACCGCGTTCATGGCAGAAGCCATCAAAGTGCAAGCGACGTGGTCGTCGATCGGAATATGTTATCCACAGTCTCTTAGTCACCAGTCACTGGCAATAAGTTCGATATGAACTTACCCTGCCTTCCATGGCTGAAAGAGTGTACCTAGTTCAACCAATACTAAATGTGACATCCAGCAATTGCATTTGAAGCTTCACCAACCCGGGAAAACTCCGCCTGAATGATTGCTGGCCGTGTCATAACAATAGATTGTCCACCCTTTATCAGGGCTATAAATAAAAGACATGATTTGCCGCGTAATTAGTCGCTTAGTAATTTAAAAATAATCGTCCTCTTATCTTACTGAAGGCTTCACATTCGGAGCTATAAATATCCCAGAGCTGGATGGTGTCGTGTGATTCGCGAGCAGGATGATATACAATACAAGCAGATGGAGATAGAATTACAATATTGGCAAAGTCAATATGTTTACCCTGGCACGGGACAAATTTGTACTTGATTTTAACAATTTAAATTCGATTGAGAACGAACTCAAAAGGAGCCAACACTGACGTCAGTTCCTAAATTGTAGCAGTCTCATAAATATTCTTATTGTTGTCGTCTGAATCATTAGAGATTCACAAATTGGTAAGCCGTAGCTAGGAATAAACGCTATAAATATGTCACAGAACTGATGTTCTAGGATTATTAGATAAAACGAAAGTGTATCAAATATATCAGGGGAGCCACCCCTGTCGGATTCTTTCCGTTTCGACGACACCTTTCCATTCCTACGCATAAATTAATTAGTGGCATAAATTGTGAAGCGTGGGAACTTGTACACTTGTAAACAAAAGTATGTGCACAACAATGGAATGACCGATTTCATATGTCAAATAAATCACACTCTCTTTAGTATTGGGAATATAGTAGTCGCACACTCGCATCATAATTGCTAATTCATGTCGAACTCTGAATTATTAGAACCTCTTATCTGAAGACTTTTTTGACAGACTGTATGCTACTACTACTATATGTAGAAGCGAAAAAATTCCCAAAATTGTTTATGTCACAGCGCACATCGAGTCAAAACGGCAAATCTTATCTCCCTTGGAGCCTCGAAAATGTTTGTAAATTATAACCCCGTTAAATTGGAAAATCTGCGACTTGTCATTTGCCAAAGACTCTGCCAACTCCAAGGCGGTCTGGGGCGTGGGGTGGCTATATAAGGCCAAGCAGAAGAGCCGAAGAAAGTTAGTTGAAATTATTCTACTTGGAGTGAAGAGGAGGAGTTTATCTCGAAATGCGAGGTGCTGGCGTTTGGCATTCTCACTCAGAGCTCGGATACTTGTACTGACAATCAATTTCGTGTACCATTCCAGGATCGACAAGCTATATGCTGTATGCCCTATTGCTGGCTCTCGTACTGCAGTTGAGCCACCAGTCCCAGCTCTTGAACTCTGGCGATGACGTCTGCCGACTGTTTGCGGATGGCACAAAGCTTCGCAAGCCGGGCGGCTGCAACGAGTGGATTGTGTGCCAGAATCAAGTCAGCACGACGGGCGGAACTTGCAGCGGAACCACGCCCTACTTCAGTCTTTCGAAGGGCACCTGCCATAAGACCTTGGACACCACCTACTGCGCCAGTCCGTGCACATCCACCACAAACGGCTACGTGGGCAGCACCCTCAACTGTGCCAATTGGTACTACTGCGAGAAGAAGACCTTAAAGGGCAGCGGTTCCTGCACCGGCCAGTTCTTTGACCAGAAACTGCAGCAGTGCGTTTATGCGGAGAACACTTCGTGTGCGGCCAAATTTGAGTGGTGCGACATCGTGCCCATAAACGTGCCGTTCCGCGACGAGGGCTACTGCAACAAGTACTATATCTGCGACAAGTCCTATAAGCTTATCGAAAACACTTGCGAGCTGGGTAAGTACTACGATGTACAATCGAAGGTGTGCGTGGCCAAGAAGAATGTTGATTGCGGGGAGCATCCGCTGCCAGTCAACGTGTGCGGAACCAAGAAGTTGGCTGTGCGCAACAAATTTGTTTCGGATGGTGCCACCTGCCGTGGGTACTTCTACTGCCGGGATCTCGGCTCCGGTGTTCCCGATCCCAACCCTGAGCGGCTGCAATGCGGAGTCGATTATTTCTTCAACGTGGAGCGACAGGCCTGCATGCCACGCGAAACCCAGAAGTGTGACGAGGATCGTTGTGATGGCCGCGACAGTGGCTTCGAGCTGGCCTCGGTGAAAGGATGCCATAACTACCTAACGTGCGCCGATGGCAAGGAAGTCAATGTGTTGACCTGTGGCGATGAATACTTCGATGTGGAAGCCCAGAAGTGTACTCCAACCATTAAAACCTACGGTGCTTGCACCGCTTAGCCATTGTGATTTCAAATAAACCAATTATCGGCCACTTATTCTCGTCTTCTCATAACAATGACCTAAATAAATAAATTACCAACGTGGTTAGGGAAAGAGCATTTTAGATTTGCATTTTTGATTTCTCTTATTGTTTTATCTTCTCACTGATATGACACCACCGGGTACCAAAAGGAAGTCACATAACATTGACATTGCTAGGCAGGAAGAACCACTCACTCCCACGGAATCCATTGCCAATGCCACCTGAAGGGAAGGGTATTTATCTATGAGTCTGATTTTGCAATTCATCACTACGTCAATAAAAAACTGATAATATGAACCACACATTCATACATACATCACCATATGCACTACACTTGATAAGATGTTGTGTTGCTTAAAAGCTCAACATATTGCGAAGAACATGTTGCGAAATAAAATAATGTTGCAAATTTGGGGCATTACATTCTAGTTCCATTTATGGCCGTGGCCTAAACTTTAAACTCACAACCGAATAAATCAATTAATGTCAGAATATTACAAATATTACTAATATATATATACATATAACTAAATAAGATTAATACATATTTCATATGTAATATAAATAAATAATAAAATAT